CACTGCATCCTATGAGAGGAGTCAACAAAGCCCCCCGCTATATGCAACGGGGCTTGGGGGGGGTTGTTGCAAATCACTCCGTTATAGTTCAGGGGCTCGAAACAGGGTGACTGTCGCCAGAGGGTGGTCCGCGCCTTTGTGGCCGAACCCCCACATCGAGTACACCTGCGCCCTGTCTCATCAAGACAGTGGTCGGTCGAGAAGAGGGAGAGAGAGGCAGCAGAGGGGGGCGAGGGGACAGGGGCGACCTTTTTCACACGAGGCACGACTCTTTTTTTCAGCTTCGGCATCGCAGGCATCAAGGGTGGCCCGCAAAATCCGCATGCGAACAAGTCGAGCCCTGCGCTCGCGCAACAGAACATTCGATCGCACATCCTGTGAGACTCGCGCCTCCTTGGCTGCGAGGCCTGCCACCTCGTCAACAACAGCGTTGCAAGTGACCTTCCATCTCGGCGCCACACCCCTCACAATGTCTTGGGCTGTGAGGTGGGAGTGGGTGAAATCAACTGTGATCGATGCAGCGCCGCCAGCCCGCTCCTTGAGAAGCTGGCCAAGCTGCGCCCACAAATCCTTATCCTCGCCTTGGGGCCGCTCATAGCGGCCCGCGAACCACCCTGTGACAACAGGTTCGCAGTCTGAAATGAGCAAAATGAAACCCTTGGTGAGCCAGACCGCGAGCAACAGGGCCCTACGCTCTCCCCTCGCCACGACTTGGCGTGGGCCACACAGGGGGCCGCGCACCGTGCCAATTAGCTCAACACAAGGCTCGAGTGAGGCAAGAAGGGCCACGGCTACTCCAACTCGGCGAAACAGGTTGCTGCTACTGTCGGGCCCTCCACTCGCACCACCGCTGATGAGGAGAGGGTAATCTATGGAGCCTTCACCCCAGCACCCTGGAGAGACTGCATTGAATCCCTCAGGGGTCCAGCATTCGGTATCCTGCGGCGGGGGCATGGCCGTCCAGGCCGCGGGAAGCATGCCCCTGAGCCAAAAACCCTCATCCATGTCCACCTGTGCAATGGCCTGCGGTAGCAGGTCCTGTGAGCCATCGTATGCAACCTTCCCTTGATTGCACTCGCACAGCCAGATGCGGTGCTTTGCCGTCTTTGGCTCCTTGCCGCATCGCGGGCACAAAGCATTGCCGTCGAAATTAGCAATCTCATCTTTGCGCCGCTGCATCGGCCAAGAAGCTCCTATGGCACAAGCGAGCATGGTCTCTGACAAGCGGTGCCCATACTCAGGCACAGCCGCCAGTTGCTGCAAAAGCACGCGGTACGAGGTTACATCCACTCCGCGCTCGAGGCCTGCCCCGCAAAAATGGCGGCTGGCCTTGGCCCACAGCTGGTGCCTGAGCGAGGCGCGGAAGTCCTCAAGGAAGGCACTGTGCGAGTCAAGGGCCTTGTCACCAGTGTACATGGTGTCGTCGAACCTCCATTCGTCGCCTGCTGCCTCATGGGGAGGTGGTATGGTCCAGGCCGCAGGCTCATCCACACCCCAACCTGCCTCCAAGAGATGCAGTACCGCAGCTGTGAGAGGTCCTCGCACATGTCGAGGGCGTTGGCCTTCTGGGATGGACCGAAGGTGTCGTGCAACTTGGCGCCAGGCTTGTCGTACTCCAGGTCTGATCTCAGGTCGGTCCCGCCACGTAGTGAGCCACTGGTCCAGGCAAGCTGTGGGCATCTGGATGGCGGGGTCCGCATCGCCAGCTCGTAAGGCGAGTAGGCTTGTCAGGCATCGACCCCTCGTGGGGGCCAGAGAGAAACCCAATCGTCGTCGGATATCCGTCATCTTGCTGCCGAAAGTGCCGTATACTTGGTGTCCATACACTCCAGCAGCTTGGGCGCCCTGTTTCTCGAGGCGCCCGCACGTTTGATACTTCTTGGCCGTCCAAGCGAAACGTCGCACCTTGGCATTCATGCGCTTGTGCTTGGCCTCGCGGACGACGCGGGTCGAGCGCCCGTGCCTACTGCCACCAGCAACGTCGACGCCCAGGCATGCTGCCTGGAGCTTGGGTGGGATGGTAAACCCTGCCCTCTTGACTCGTGCAGCGATCCACTTGGCGCCCTGACAATGTGAGCAAATGACAACGGACTTCGGGGAGACAGCGAGCTGCTTGGCCTGCAGTTCTTGACAAGTCTCGATGATGCATGCTGCTAGTTGCCTCCTAACTGCGGACCTCGACCCACATGTCCCTTGCGAGAGATCATCTATCCAGATCCGATGGCTCACTCTGGGGTGAGCGGCTGTGATGGCTGACAGCACGCAGTGGGTCATGGCCTTGCCGGATCTCGTGCCTGAGCGAAGGCCCTGCACCACACTTCGCGTCGGCTGAAAAGCCCGCGACGTGGCCCCAAGCTGGCTCACCGTGCGCGCTGCCGCGCACTGCAGCAACTCGAGGTAGAAGATCCTCGGTGGGAAAGACAGGTTGGGGGAACACAACACCAGCCCTGGCCACTCGATGGAATCGTAAAACGACTTAATGTCAACGAGGCCCTCTCCGACTGCGATGCCCAGATGATGCGGCACTTCCTGCTGGAGGGCTCTCACAAATGCTTCCCTCAAGCTGGAGTTCCCTCTCACTGATGCGTCCCAGGACGCCTCCGTGTCGCTGCTCCCCTGGCGCACCAACGGTTTGCGAATCAAGCTCCATAATCTGCCAACCATTGAGACGAGCACGATGGTGCGGTCGCCCGTGCTCTTCTTGGACAGCATGCGTCCAACGATCATGAGGACCTGGGCGGGCCATACGAGATGATGCTCGCAAGCCTCGAACAACAGCGCCAACTCTGCAAGAGCCGTATCAGGGAGACGCTCGAAGCCCCCTGGGGAGAGCATGTCGACGCCAAGCCCCGCTCGGGGCCGCATCTGCCGCAAGGCTGCTCTGATGTCCTCAACCGATATGGGCGGAAGAACATCGTCCTGGGCTGCTTCTCGCACCTGCTGAAATGCACGCTGCACTAGCTCTTCGTCCATCCGATGAGGCGCCCACAGATCATGCCAGCCTCGAGCCTTGACGTCAATGATGTCTTTGGGGTGGGAGAGCACCTCCCCCTCGTGGTCGAGCTCTTGCGCTGGTAGATTCTGCGGGCCCAATGGGCGATGCAGCGTGCCTATGGACTCAGCTGTGCCCATAAAATCTCTGAAGTCTCGAATGGATTCCTGGACTGCACGCCGCTGCGCTCTGCCCATGACACGCTTGGACAGGGGGACGTACAGCTCCAGCTCCTTGGTGGTCACCTCGCCTGCAGCTCGAATGACTCGCTCCCATTCATCCCACGGTGGTTCACATCCAGCAAGCAGAACTCGCCGAGCTTCAACTGGTCGAGTGTCCAGATGTCGTACACAGGCAGCCGTATACTGAGCAACCTGTCGTGGTCCATTACGCTTGTCACGATGCAAGCGTAGTCCTGAAAGAAGTGTGTGTAGTTGCGTCCACCATGCACTGGCTTGATCTCTAAGCGCCGCAACACGCGCTTTGCCGGGCATCCTGACAGTGGTCACCTTGAAGCGCGGCCCCTCTGCTCGACGCGGGCCCGATGGAATCTCAACTCCACGGTGCGAAGAGATGCTGGATTCGACAGCGGACACCCAGGAGGCGTAGAGGCCTGAAATAGTGGAGACAAGATCTGGCTTGAGCCGAACTGCTACGGACTGACGCAGTGCAGGAGCAAGGGACTGGAGCGAGAACGAGCCAGGTGTAAACCCGACTTCCCTCCGACACCGCTCCCACAACCCAGGAGGTATTGCATAAGTCGGGGCTCCTCCAGACACTTGCACGTCAGGGTCCGAGGGCAGGTCTCCAACACGCTGGGAATCCAGGGTCTGCGCCTGGGATGAGCCAAAGGTCGGAGCAGCGGCCGAGCTCGGCAGCACCACCCCCACGCCCTCGACCCCCCCAGACGGATCTCCCCCAGACTCCCAGGCCCCAGACTTGACAGGTTCAAAACAGGACGAATTCCCAAAACTTGTACTATCTAACGGGCCTAGAAGGTTCCTGGGGACAAAGCACGACTCTTCAGCCCACGGGTCCTCCTCCTCTTCAGGCCATTCTGAATAATCTAACTCAGCAGCGTGCTCCCTAGGCTCTAAGCGGGTGGCGTCTTGGTCCCCAGACTCCTCCCCCTCAGAGTGCGCACAAAACGATTGAGGTCTACAATCGCCAAACAATGATGCAAATTTCTGGGCGCGCTTGTCAACCGCATTCTGATGCTGGACTTGGCGCTCTACCTTAGCGAGACTGGATTTAGAACCTACAGTTGGCTCGGAGGTGGGACGCGGGACCTGTGGCAAGCGTCCTGGCACCTCTAGAACCCGAGTGATGAGTTGTTCACCTGAACTACGAAGAGTAACCTCGAGGCCTATGTGAGGCTTCCAGGGAACAGCAAGAACAGGCGTGACAGATACGATGAAAAAGACCGCTGATTTACTGCACAAAACGTAATCAATGACCGTGCCCGTGCCAAGATTACAAGTTGCCGTGTCGCCAGCAGTAACCACAGCGCCGTGCAACCTGTCAGGGATGCCTGATCGAACAACATTGTGAGGCGAAATGTTGAAATCACCGAGCACTATCCACGGCAGCTGGAGCGACCACAGGAGGCCTGCTAGGCGCTGGTACCTACCAACATTCAGGCCTCTCACCCCCACTCCGTTGCGCGCGTAGAAGGATACGATGACCATGGAGAAACCCGAGAAGTGCGCCGTCACCGCCACGAACCCGTCGAGCGAGGAGGGGTGGTTGGACGCCTGCAGCTTGGATGCCGCGAGCTTGGATGTACCGAGCCTGGCGACCTGAAGGTGGCCCTTGGACATGGGCCCCTCGCCCCCCTCGCTCGCGAACTCGACATGGTCGTCTGTGACGACCTTCCGGGTACGTCTTGCTGGATTGGCGTGTGGGCGAAGCCCTTTCCCCCGAGCTTTGCCGTCGTACTTCTTGAGAGACTGCTTGTCATGAATGTGAGTCTCAACAATGCTGAAGAAATCGTGTGGCTGCCCAACCAGCCAAAACCACGCCTTCTCCCCCATGCAAGTGACATCCCGTGGAATATCTTGGCCGTGCGGCCTCCCGCTGTCGGCTCCTGGGCCGGCTCGCGACTAGGCTCAGTGCCTAGTCACTCGCCCTGCTTCTTGTCCTCTGTGGTCTGCTGCGACTGCGGCTGGGGGGAAGCGCCGACGCCCTTGCCGTTGCTCTTGCCCTTCTGGTTGGCCATGGCCTGGAACTTCGCCTCTGACAGCCTCTGAGCCTCGGCCTCCGCAGCCTCGGTCTCGGCCTCGGCGGCCTCGGCGGTGCCCGCTGGGGAGGCCGTCTGCGCGGCGGTGGCGCCCTCGGCACCCTGCGCTCCACGCGCGGCGCTCTCCCCAGGCAGCTCGGCACTCGCGCCTGTGGCAACGCCCTGGCCCTCCGCGTTCTTCCTCTTCTTGGCAGCTCGATCCTCGATCTCTGACTTCAGCTTCTGAGCCTGGGCCAACCACGCCTTGACCTCGGCCTCCTTGCTCTCTAGGTCCGACGCCGTCGCCTCGAGACTCGTGCGAAGTTTGCGTAGCACTGCCTTCTCGTGCTCCTCGCACTCCATGGTGTCTATGTTCGCGAAAAAACTCTTGTCGTAGGAAACCTCGAAAATTTTGGCCTCGGACGCCCCCGTGGCGTCAGCCTGCTGCGTGGTGACGCCCTCGGCGCACGCCAGTGCCCGCGCCGCAGCCGTCCGCGCCTTGAGCGCCTGCGCGACCTCGACGGCGGCCTTGGCCTCCTTGGCCTCGGCCAACTCCAGCTGCTGGCGGAGCTTCAGCACGTGCGCCACCTGCTGCCCATGGCGGTGATCCGCGTCCTTCCAGGCGCCGTCCGCCCGTCTCAGGGCCTCCACAGGGGTGGTGCCCTTGGCGGCGGCCGCCTCCGCCTCAAGCCGCTCGACCTGCTGCTTCAAGTTGGCCTGGAGCACAGGGTCGGCCGTGGACTCCAGTGCTTGCCTGAGCAAGTCGGCGATGGCTGAGGTCTTGTCGTCGCCCCTACGCCTGCCCTTGCCTGCGCGGCCTGGGCTTGGCGAGCGTAGAATGCCACGTGGATGCTGCAGCTCCTCGCGCTCCTCGTCCGCGAACTGGACGGCCTTCCTTCGCGACGAGCTCGGCTTCTCGTACAAGCCGACCTTCTGGCGGCATCCAAGACAGCAGAAGTTGTGCTTGCTGGCTAGGATGTCGTTGTATTCACAACGCTGGCAATTCTGACACTTTGTCCATGCTCGGCGCGGGGCTGCCTTGCCCGCACCTGTCATGGCTGCAACTCGAAAACTAAGGTTCGTCTCTGCTTTAGTCGAGGCTGAAGCACAAATGGATGGGGCTGGTTGTGCTTAGTCTAGTCCCTCAAGTGCCCCGTGGCGGCACAGAGACTGGAGCTCGTCAGCTGAAAAGCTCGGGCCCCAATGTAACTTGAGGGAGGAGGAGGAGAGGAGGAGGAGGAGGAGGAGGAGGAGGAGGAGGACGAGGAGGAGGACGAGGAGGGGCGCAGCGGGTTGCAGGCTGGAGCGCGGCGGGCGCGGGGCCGCGGCGGGCGAAGGCCGCCTCTGGCGCGAGCCGCTGGCGATTCGTCGGTCGGCGGGTCGCACGCGGGCCGCGGGAGACAGCGTCAACAACAATACCACCCACCAGAGCAGAACATCCGCACCGCAACGCAGAACTCCTCCTCGTCCTCCTGTTCCTCCTCCTCCTCGTCCACCCCCCTCGCCCCCATTCTCAACACTCGCTGTCCGCCTTCATCCTGTCTCCTCACTTGCCACCCATGCATACACTAGTTGGGTCAGTCCATCCGCCTTAAACAGAAAGGTCTCCCAATTCGTCGCGGGTGCTCTGCTGGTCATGCGCCAAAGAGAATGACACCGTAAGAGGAGGTGCACTCCGACTTAAGTGGCCCCGAAACGTCAGGGCATGTGTTTCGCCGTTTCCGAGAGAATGCCACTTGAAAATAGAAACGGTATTATAGCCGGAGTGCAGTATCCCCAAACAGGGTTTTTAGCCCCACTGCGGTTTCCAAGGTCGATTGCGTTCCCGTCCAGTGCGGGCTGGCATGGCATGTTAAAACATGCCTCCTCCTCCTCCTCCTCCTCCTCCACCTCCTCTTCATCCCGAACGGCATCTGGGAGCCCAGAGTTGCGAGGATGTCTCCAGCGTAACGGGCTGGACCACCTCGCGCGCGGCATCTCGGACCCCAGAGTTGCGACGATGTCTCGGGCGAAACGTGCTGCGAGGAAGTCTCAGGCGAAACGGGCCGGACCACTCGAGCGCGGCGTCTCAGAGCTCCGAGTTGCAGGGGCTTCCTGGGGCCTCCTGGGACCTCCTGGTGACCTCCTGGAGCTTCCTCCTGGGCCTCCTGTGGCCTCCTGGACCCCGCCTGGGGCTTCCTGAAGCCTCTTGGGGCTCCCAGGGGGGGATATCTAACATGTGGCCGTCGGGGCCCCCCCAAATGGGGGGGCCACAAGAGCAGGAAAAATCAACGAATCGACACCGGATTTGTATCAACTTGACACGTTCTGATAGGGGGCCTCCTGGGGCCTCCTGGGAGCCTCCTGGGAATCTCCTGTGGACCCTGGGGCCTGTCCTGGGCGTCTTGCGGCCTCCTGAAGCTCTCTGGGGCCTCCTGGAGCTCCCAGGATCCCAGGCGGGATATGTAACATGTGGTCTTCTGGGCGCCCAGGCTGGACCACCTCTCGCGCAGCATCTGAGAGCTCAGAGTTGCGAGAATGTTTTGTGCGAAACGGGCCGGACCACCTTGCGCACGGCATCTCAGAGCTCAGAGTTGCGAAGAAGTCTCAGGCGAGATGGGCCGGACCACCTTGCGCAGGGCATCTCGGAGGCCAGAGTTGCGAGGATATCTCCAGCGTAACGGGCTGGACCACCTCGCGCGCGGCGAAACGGGCCAGACCACCTCGAGCGCGGCATCTCAGAGCTCCGAGCTGCGGGGGCCTCCTGGGGTCTCCTGGGACCTCCTGGTGACGTCGTGGGGCTTCCTCCTGGGCCTCCTGTGGCCTCCTGGACCCCACCTAAGGCTTCCTGAAGCCTCTTAGGGCTCCCAGGAAAAGATATCTAACATGTTGCCGTCAGGGCCCCCCAAAATGGGGGGGGGCCACAAGAGCATGAAAAATCAACGAATCGACACCGGATGTGTATTAACTTGACACGTTCTGATTGAGGGCCTCCTGGAGCCTCCTGGGAATCTCCTGCGGACCCCTGGGGCCTGTCCTGGGCGTCCTGCGGCCTCCTGAAGCTCTCTGGGCCTCCTGGGGCTCCCAGGTCCCAGGCGGGATATGTAACATGTGGTCTTCTGGGCCCCCAGGCTGGACCACCTCTTGCGCAGCATCTGAGAGCTCAGAGTTGCGAGAATGTCTTGTGCGAAACGGGCCGGACCACCTTGCGCACGGCATCTCAGAGCTCAGAGTTGCGAAGATGTCTCAGGCGAGATGGGCTGGACCACCTTGCGCAGGGCATCTCGGAGGCCAGAGTTGCGACGATGTCTCCAGCGTAACGGGCTGGATCACCTCGCGCGCGGCATCTCGGACCCCAGAGTTGCGACGATGTCTCGGGCGAAACGTGCTGCGAGGAAGTCTCGGGAGTCTTCTGGTGCCTCCTGGGGCCTCCTGGTGACCTGCTGGGGCTTCCTCCTGGGCCTCCTGTGGCCTCCTGGACCCCGCCTGGGGCTTCCTGAAGCCTCTTGGGGCTCCCAAGGGGATATCTAACATGTGGCCGTCGGGGCCCCTCAAAATGAGGGGGCCACAAGAGCATGAAAAATCAACGAATCGTCACCGGATGTGTATTAACTTGACACGTTCTGATAAGGGGCCTCCTGGGGCCTCCTGGGAGCCTCCTGGGAATCCCTGGAGACCCCTGGGGCCTGTCCTGGGCGTCCTGCGGCCTCCTGAAGCTCTCTGGGGCCTCCTGGGGCTCCCAGGCTCCCAGGGGGGATATGTAACATGTGGTCGTCTGGGCTCCCAGGCTGGACCACCTCTTGCGCAGCATCTGAGAGCTCAGAGTTGCGAGAATGTCTTGTGCGAAACGGGCCAGACCAACTTGCGCACGGCATCTCAGAGCTCAGAATTGCAAGGATGTCTCAGGCGAGACGGGCCGGTGTCTCGGGCGAAACGTGCTGCGAGGAAGTCTCAGGCGAAACGGGCCGGACCACCTCGAGCGCGGCGTCTCAGAGCTCCGAGTTGCGGGGGCCTCCTGGTGCCTCCTGGGGCCTCCTGGGGACCTCCTGGGGCTTCCTCCTGGGCCTCCTGTGGCCTCCTGAACTCCACCTAGGGTTTCCTGAAGCCTCTTGGGGCTCCCAGGGGGGATATCTAACCTGTGGCCGCTTGGGCCCCTCAAAATAAAGGGGGGGGCCACAAGAGCAGGAAAAATCAACGAATCGTCACCGGATGTGTATTAACTTGACACGTTCTGATAGGGGGCCTCCTGGTGCCTCCTGGGAGCCTCTGGGAAATCTCCTGCGGACCCCTGGGGCCTGTCTTGGGCGTGCTGCGGCCTCCTGGACCTCTCTGGGGCCTCCTGGGGCTCCCAGGATCCCAAGGAGGATATGTAACATGTGGTCTTCTGGGCTTCCAGGCTGGACCACCTCTTGCGCGGCATCTGGGAGCTCAGAGTTGCGAGAATGTCTTGTGCGAAACAGGCCAGACCACCTTGCGCACGGCATCTCAGAGCTCAGAGTTGCGAGAATGTTTTGTGCGAAACGGGCCGGACCACCTCGCGCAGGGCATCTCAGAGCTCAGAAGTTCGAGGATGTCTCAGGCGGGCTCCCAGGGTCCCAGGGAGAATATGTAACATGTGGTCTTCTGGGCCCCCAGGCTGGACCACCTCTTGCGCGGCATCTGGGAGCTCAGAGTTGTGATAATGTTTTGTGCGAAACAAGCCGGACCACCTTGCGCACGGCATCTCAGAGCTCAGAGTTGCGAGGATGTCTCAGGCGAGACGGGCCGGACCACCTCGCGCAAGGTATCTCAGAGCTCAGAAGTTCGAGGATGTCTCAGGCGAAACGGGCCGGGCCACCTCTCGCGCGGCATCTCCGAGGTTAGAGTTTCGAGGATGTCTCAGGCGAAACGGGCCGGACCACCTCGCGCAAGGCATCTCAGAGCTCAGAGTTTCGAGGATGTCTCAGGCGAAATGGCCCGGACCACCTCTCGCACGGCACCTCGGGGCTCAGAGTTTCGAGGATGTCTCAAGCGAAACGGCCCGGACCACCTCTCGCGCGGCGTGCCGGAGCGCAACTTTTCGAGGATGTCTCAGGCGAAACGGCCAATCCCGGCCAACTCAGAAACGAGAGTCGTGAGGATGTCTCAAGCGAAACGGCCCGGACCATCAAATTTTTGTGAGGATGTCTCTGCTCCGACTTCCCTCGGCCGGAGTTAGCTTCTATCACAACAGCACCCCGTTCAGCAAGCTGTTTGGGGAATCAACGAATCGACACCGGATGCGTATTAACTTGACACGTTCTGATAGGGGGCCTCCTGGAGCCTCCTGGGAGCCTCCTGGGAATCTCCTGGGGGCCCCTGGGGCCTGTCCTGGGCGTCCTGCGGCCTCCTGGACCTCTCTGGGGCCTCCTGAGGCTCGCAGGGTCCCATGGAGGATATGTAACATGTGGTCTTCTGGGCGCCCAGGCTGGACCACCTCTCGCGCAGCATCTGAGAGCTCAGAGTTGCGAGAATGTCTTGTGCGAAACAGGCCGGACCACCTTGCGCACGGCATCTCAGAGCTCAGAGTTGCAAGGATGTCTCAGGCGAGACGGGCCGGACCACCTCGCGCAGGGCATCTCAGAGCTCAGAAGTTCGAGGATGTCTCAGGCGAAACGGGCCGGACCACACCTCGCGCGGCATCTCCGAAGTCAGAGTTTCGAGGATGTCTCAGGCGAAACGGGCCGGACCACCTCGCGCAAGGCATCGCAGAGCTCAGAGTTTTGAGGATGTCTCAGGCGAAACGGCCCGGACCACCTCTCGCACGGCACCTCGGGGCTCAGAGTTTCGAGGATGTCTCAAGCGAAACGGCCCGGACCACCTCTCGCGCGGCGTGCCGGAGCGCAACTTTTCGAGGATGTCTCAGGCGAAACGGCCAATCCCGGCCAACTCAGAAACAAGAGTCGTGAGGATGTCTCAAGCGAAACGGCCCGGACCATCAAATTTTTGTGAGGATGTCTCTGCTCCGACTTCCCTCGGCCGGAGTTAGTTTCTACCACAACAGCACCCCGTTCAGCAAACTGTTTGGGGAAAAACAAATCTGGGCGGCCAGACACGGAAAAACAACGGCACTTAATCTTAGAAAGCACGGCAACGAAAGCTGCAGTTGACGAGGGCGGAATCACAACGAAAACGGCAATCGGCTGTGTAGCTTCATTTTGCAGTTGCGCGCGCGCATCCCCGAAAATTGGTCCGAGTTGGAGCTGCCGCTTCCGTTGTCGGAATCGGCGCCGCTGCTGCTGCTCGTACCGTGCCGTCGGCGCGCCCTCCGATTCAGACGCCCCCCTGCCGTCGCATGATCATCTCAATCGGACCGGCCATTCAGACGCCCCCCTGCCGTAAGGCTGCCATGAAATATTGGCAAATTCCCATTGCGCAAAGTATCAGCGCCTCGTTGAAGCCGGAATGGCTTGTGCGGGATCTGATGCCAAAGGCGAGTGGGTAGGCTCGGCTCTGTTGGGGGGTCGGGCCCCCCAACCCCCCGGGGGAGGCCTGGGCAGTCCCAAAGTCCGAGGGACTCTCAGAACGGGTTCGGAACCGGTTCGGAGCCGGTTAAAAGACTGCAAAGGTCCAACTGGGGAAGTCGGAAACTATAAAAAATCGCTAAGTTTGGCAGGTCGGCATCCCCCTCTGCCGCGGCATGATTCCGGAGTCGCCGTGGATGCGGGGAGCGGGGCGTGGGAGGCATCTGAGCCTGAGGGCGCCGACGGCAGCGGCAACGACGATTGAGCCAGACATGGTGCAGGCTCCAGCTCCGACTGGACTGGATAAGACCGTGAGCGAGCGCGAAAGAGAGACAAACACAAGCAACATGCAGAAAGACCTTGACGGAACAGGACACAGGGGAAAAGGCGGCAACCACAAACAACAAGAACGGCGTCGGATACGCAATCAAAACGACGCCGCAAACGACAAACAAGCGGCGACGGATACGGCAAAAAACGGCTCCAGAAACGATAAACAACCCGAACAACGGGCGCGGTGAAAAACGGCCCTGTCTTTTCCAGGGCCAAGTCAGCACCCGATACTCTCCCACGCGGCACCCAAGAGGGCCCTGGGAGCCCTTCCTGCTTTTCGTCCCCCTCCTGCCGCGATTGGCCAGGACTGCCCTGGGCGGGAACTGCTGCTCAAACTTCCTAGGAACAAGAAAGTCTACAAATTCTTTGGTATCCAAAGCCCAGGCAGGCCGTGACTCGGAGTGCGTGCCGAGATTCGATGAGCGTGCCGTGCGCAACCTATGGCGCAAGCGGCCCAAAAACCGCAGTTGCGAAAAAGCGTGCAAGGCGCCGTGCGCCATCTGCAGCGCAACCAAGACAGAGCGGCGCAGAAATCGTGACTCGGAAGCCGTGCCGTGCCCAACTTATGACGCACCATTTCGAGCAACCGATCGGGTCTGTCGTGGGTCGAAACTCGCGGTTCGGTAGGGCCGTGTCGCGCTGTGCCGTACCGTGTCCGAGGCCGCGCCGTGCCGCGCCATGCGCCTGCTATCGAGGGCCTCTCGGCGGGGTGCCTTCCCCGCTCCCTCGATCTCGTACTCGAGGGGGTATTCCAAGGAATGGTATTAGACAGTATCCCTCGAGAGGCCCTCGGCATTCTCGAGGGCATCTCGGCGGGATCGACATGGGTACGGAAAGAATCGGTACGATGCCTAAGAGCAGCGCCCGTTCATTTGCACCAGGACTCGCTGTCCGCTTCGCCGTTGATGTTGTTCATTGAAGACACAGAGCCGCCTGCCCAACAGCGGCCGCTGTCGGTTTCAGACAATATTTGTTGCCGGGCCTCGTACCAATTTTTTCCGTACCCATCTCGGGTGTCCATTAGACACAAAATCCACCCCCATAATAACCACCCCGACACGCGAAGCCGTTCACTAAACGCCATCACTGAGGGAATCGAGCAGGGCCTGGCTGTTTAGTAAAGGCCCAAGGCCGTGGAGTAAACGCCAATTGTCCGGTCAGGGTGGCTTTTCCTCCTTTGATCCAAATCGATCAGCCAGGAGCATCCCGTGCAAGGGCAACGCCGCGCGACCAAGTCCGGGAGAGGCCCCCTGCGCCGCGCGAGCTCCCCTGGGGCCCCCTGGACGGGGCTCGCGGAGACGCGCGAGGCCTACGGAACGAGCGGCTCCCCAACGGCTTCGGTAGGGCGCCGCGCGGATCGGCGGCGACAATAGGGGCGTTACACGCATTCGCCCGGGAGCCTTTTCGAAGACATAGATCAGCGGCGCACCTGAATACATGTATTGCACTCCCCTGGACTATTCGCCCCTGTCGTCGTCTCTGAGCGGAGCGCAAGGCCGCAGGAAGTCCCGGCCAGGCCCTGCGCTGACCCACCGCATTCCTCCCCGCGGCCTCTCCCAAATCTCGCCCTTCCCCGAAGCTTCCACTCGGATCGGAAGTCGGGGGTGGCATGCCCATCCTTGTCGGGCCAGCTGGGCCCGAGGGAAACTGCGGATGGGCCGGGCCACAGACGAAGAAGACGTATGTATGTACGTGTGCGCGGCGACCTTCCGCCTGCGCTTGAACGCGGTCGCTCGTGCGCTCGTGATCTAGGAAGGCGCACATGCGCAGAACGCACATTTGCTTACACTGGGACGGCAAACCATCCCTCCGACTATCGCGGGAAGTCCGTCGTCCAGTGGCGTGCGGTGCGGCCGTCGGTAGACGTCCACGACATATTCCCAAATCCGCTTGCCTATTCTTGTGCGACGGCAATCTCACGGCAAGATCGGCTGCAACAACTCGTTTCCCAGCCTGGCTCAAGGAGACACCAACGATCCCGGCGTCAATCTTCGATGCACCTCCCTTTGAGCAGGGACCGACCGTCCCGGTGCCCCTATCGGCCTACCACGACATGTTCTTAGACCCCCAAAATATTCGAATCACAAAAACACTGTTCTTATAACATACACCCGAAGTGTTAAAACAAGACAGTCCCAGCCAGAAATGTTCTAAGAGCATTTCGTGCAGACGACACAAGGTTCTTAGAACATTCTTTGGTGGACCTATAGGCGAGCCAGGACGCTTCGCCACTGCTTGATCCCTGGCGCACACGCCTCCAGCACGTCAGCGGGCCCCAGCGGCTTTGCTATCCCGTTCCCCCCCTCCCGATCTTGCGGATGCCCGCCCGCATCAACAGGTCCACCCTGTCTCCCGAGCGCACCAGACGATCTATACCACGAAGCACCTGGTCAGGGCGGACGGAGCGCAGCGACTGGCGCGCAAAAACCATTGGGACGGATTAGCGCACTATGCCAGAAGCCTCCTGTTGAATTTCCAGAAGGCTTCTTGCACCGCCCCTCCTGCTGCGAGCCGCGCATCGCAGCGTTCACCCGCGCACAGCTCACAGCCGCAACGCGTGCGCAATGTCCTCGTGCACCTCCTGGTCGAACCCGCCACCGCGCTGGACGATGGCGATGGCATGCCTCGACTCTCGAACGTGGGTCATACGGGCAATACGCTGGACGGCCTGATAATGACTGCGTCCAAAAGGAACTGTAGCATGCTCAGCGCCTCCCGTAGCGTACCCAGGGTCGCCGCCTCCGCGCCTCCTGCCTGGAAGCGCGGCCGCTGCACGCCGAGGTCGGCACGTCGGCCTCCAGCGTGCGCGAAGGCCTGGCGCACCTTGAACGCAGTCTGCTTCCTCCTCCTCCTCCTCCTCCTCCTCATCCTCCTTGGTCTCCTCCTCCTCCTCCTCCTCCTTGGTCTCCTCCTCCTCCTCATCCTCCTCGCTGACTCTGGGCCAGCTGCTCTGGCGTGACCAGGCCCTTGAGAGCAGGTCGGCGGAGCGCCCTCCGAGCGGAGCCCGCGTGTGGCCAACAAAAAGGATGGCCGGATGCCCCGAGACCGGGTGACAGCGGCCCGCCTACTGGCCTGGGCGCGGCTGCTCCGCGCAGCGGCTGGGGAGCACTGCCAGGACGCCTGACCTGGAAGAAGAACAAACAAACATAATTTTAAACAGGAAGAGGAAGAACTTAAACAATAAAACAAAAAAGAGGAAGAAGGAACAAAAAACAGACACATAAACTTGTGGCGCTCCGCGCGGGTTTCTTGGATCCGCGCCGGACCCCCCTCCCTGGCGCGCGGAGCGCGCCAGGGGCGCCGCCGGAGGCGCCGCCAGGGGGGCCCAGCGCGGATCCAACAAATCCGCGCGGAGCGCCAAAAGTTTCTGTTTATGTGTTTTTTTGATGCTTCGATGCCAGCACGCCTGACCATCAACTCACGTTCACTCGCGGGCGCCGGCGGGCCACGAAACGAGCCCACGCCCACTGCCATGGCCACCCTTGTTTTCATGGCCGCCATCGACCATCACAGGGCCACAGCAAAACTTGAAGCACGCGGATGCATCGGAATCCACGGAAACAGAAGTCCTTCCGATAGTCGTTGCCACTGGGCGTCGACAGCTTGGACCAAAACTGCTAGGCACGAAAGCGCTGTCATTGGAGAGACAGCCGTGGGCATGGGATCCGAAAGTCTTGCACACGAGAGGCCCACCAGCTAGGAGATCGCCAGTCACATCCACCACCTTGATTATACAAGGAACTTCCAACGACATGGGACCTCTGGAGACCATTCCTGTTGAACATACCCATACGCACTTCTGCCTCACTTCTTCGAGAGGGGCCCCGACATCAGTCCCCTCCATGCCGGCGCCGATGCAGGTGGCGCATACAACGTCGACGTTCTTGAGGACCTCGTCGCGCAGGGATTCAGGGTTATTGCTCAACCGCATGGCAGAATGACGAGTAAGAGGTGACGGAATGAAATGAAAGCGTCAATCACGACCAAGTCTTTCCCTCTCTCTCTCTCTCTTGCACCCCCCTCTCTCACGCGTTCGCACCATCGTCTAGCTATGCATGAGGCGCCCAGGACGCGGTGCCCTTTCGTCCGGTCATGCGAGCCACAATCAAAATCAGCACTACCACATCATCATCAGCAGCAGCAGCAGCATCATCAGCATCAGCAGCAGCAGCACTACCACATCATCATCACTATCATCACTACCATCAGCATCATCATCAGCATCATCATCTCAATCACCACCACCACCATAATCATCATCACCATCAAATTCAACATCAATTTAATCACCATCATCATGAGCAACAACATCATCATCGTCATCATCGTACCCCATACGTGCAAGCAGTAGAATACGGACAAATCTGGACCATGCTCGGATGCCCCACGGTCACTTCGCAATCCTTTTTGGCAGCGACGGCGGGGGGGGGGCCAACAGATTGCCTGCTGTGTGCAATGCCACCGTCCCCCAACCATCCCCCTGAAAAAGAAAATGAAGTTCACGTTGGGGCAAAATCTGGCTCGTGCGCGAGCACCGAACGATCGCGTTGCATGCATGGTTGATCGACAGGGACGAAGGGGGTGCCTGCAGATTGCCTGCTAAGCACAGGCCCGTCACCCCTGCTAACACAACAAGACTGAATATGCTTTCCGGCGGCCGTCATGCGCGGGAGCCTCGCGATCAGCTCGCATTGTGGTTTGGCAGGGATGATGGGGGCACGGCGCACCTGACTTGCGCCTGCATTGGTTCTCGATCATGGTCGATAGAGGCCCCTGCCCATGCTGAGACTCGAGTGCTCCTTGTGTGGTGGGAGGGCGGGTGGGAGTGAGCGACACGGCCGTCCGTAGGGGGGGGAGCTCGACCCCTCCCCTTACCCCATCCTCTGGGTCTGGACGGAGGGTTTCGCAAGGCGTGAGATAGTGGAAAAGGCCCAAATGGCCGCAGAGAGCCCAAGATGGCCTCCAAGATTGCACAATACTGCCCACTATGGCACAACACTGCTTCCAACATCACTCCAAGAGGCCCCAAGACCGCTCCAAGAAGGCTACATGTGATCACGGACCCTCCTCTTTAGGACGCCTCCATGTGGCTACACCCCTTTCCGAAACCTGAAGGGAAACCAGATGACTTTTGCCTGCTCGTCTTTTCGCTTCCGATGGGCGTCTGAGGCTTCAAGATGACTCCAAGATGGCCCAAGAGAGCATCAACGACGGCCACAAGAGCGACCCAAGAGCGGCCCAAGAGGCCCCGGAGAAGCGATGCTCAAGCCCAAGAAGGGGGCACTAATCTGCGCCGCCCCTTCTTTGACCGATGACCTCCATCCAATACAGCCCTGAGAGGGCCCCGGAGGCCCCCAAGAGGGCCCCAAGAGGACCCCCAAAGCTTCCAACATGGTCAGAAGAGGGCCTCAACATGGCCCAAGCAGGCTGCCAAGAGGCTCCAACATCGAAAGAACCGCGAAGGCAGTGGCTGTCGACTCCTGGGTCTGCGCACGCCGATCCCGAGCTTCGATTGGACGGCTGCCCCCCCCGCCCCCCTTGTCTGCTCCACCGGAGGCTCCCCCCCTCTTTCGGCCGTTGCTTCTGCCCTGTCCCCGTCTCCCTGCATGGTGGCACCATTCGCTACAACGGCACCCCCGTTTAGGTAGCCCTCCGCCAGCGCAGTGACTCTGCCTGGCCGCCGACAACGCACGGGCGCGCTTCAACAGGGGGAAGATCAACCCAGAATTCGGCGCTGGTGGAAATGCTTCGGCCACCCAGGAAGCCCAAAGATTACCGCCATCACCGAGATCGGGAGCGCCTTCCCTCGGTGGTGGCACACCGCCGATATTGGTGTTGATGTCCGCCCACTGCAGCTGCGCCAGAAATCTGACCAGGCGGCGTATATCCACTGCCGCCGGGTCGTGTCCCGAGGACTCGGGGAGCGGTGGACATGGACATATCTGCCCGCCCGCGCGGGCGGGCAGATCTCCAATTTCCACCGCTCCCCGAACTCTCACAGCACTACTCCGAAGCGGTGGATGTGGACATTTTCTGGCGGCGGGGTCAGCACCGACGCACGCGCACCACCGGCCTGCCCCGCTCGCAGCTCCGCGAGCGCCAGGAGGGCCGCCAGGCGCCGCGTGCAGCGCACCGCGCAGCAGCGCGCCCCGCGCAAGACAGCGGCGCCGGGGGCCGGCGCGCGCCCCACCCGAAGCCAATGCCGCGCCAGCCCCCCCGCCGCCCCCAGCCAGCGGCACGGAGCGCGGAGCGCAGATGCCATGGATGATGGGCGAATTTTCCACCACCACTACCATGTGTAGGACGAGGGGGAAGGGGGGATGAGGAGGTCCTCTTCCTCCTCCTCCTCCTCCTCTTCCTCCTCCTCCCTTCCTCCTCCTCCTCCTCCTCCTCCTCCTCCTCCTCCTCCTCCTCCTCCTCCTCCTCCTCCTCCTACTCCTCCTCCTCCTCCTCCTCCTCCTCCTCCTCCTCCTCCTCCTCCTCCTCCTCCTCCTCCTCCCTCTCCTACATATGGTAGTGGTGGTGGAAAATGGGCCCATCAATGGAGAAGCAAAGCCACTCCTCCTCGAGCGCGACCTGCGGCAACTCCTGTAGGTGTTCCTTGTCGGCGCGAGCCGTAAGGAGGGTCCTTGCGAATGCTCCGAGTCGAGGGCCTGCGAGTCCAGCGGCTGTCTCGCAAGACATCGAAAATGCCTCGCCCACGGCGCCCACGCGCGCGAGGGACATGGCAGCGAAGCCCTCTAACTAACCGTCCCAGAACCCATGCGCCTTCTCAGAAGCGGCATGGCATACTCACTCGCAGCGCCACCAGAGCAATGAGCAACTAGAGCGGAGGGCACACGCGGCATCGACAGAAACCTCATCCATGGCGATGGCGTAGTGCACGTGCAGATGCAAGACTCATCCCGCGCTTCTCTAAAAGGTCAGAGTATGCACACTATCCAGACATGGTGCGCATTGGCGTAACCATCTTCGGAGTACGCAGGCCAAATATCGCCGCCACTTCCGTGGCGTGCTCGGCCAGCGAGAGGACGTGATTCTCAAGGCCAGCACGCGACTTCGCATCGCGTGCCCGTTGTAGGTCACGGGCGCCCGCGCGTGGATTGCGCAGCTTGGGCGAGTGCTCGAGGGGGGCGCTGATTGTTTCGTAGACTCAACGATGGCGTACAGTTCGCAACGTCCTGCTAGCACGGCCATCTGGATATCGAGAGGAGACGCGATGGTCAAGGCCAGCGCGCGACTTCGCATCGCATGCCGGTTGCAAGTCAGGGACGCCCGCGCTGGTATGGCGCAGCTTGGGCGAGTGCACGAGGGGAGCACTGATGGTATGGTGGACTCAACGCTGGTGCACAGTTCGCAGCGCCCTGCTAGCACGGCCCACTGGTTATCGAGAGAAGACATGATGGTCAAGGCCAGCACGCGACTTCGCATCGCGCGCCCGTTGCAGGATAGGGACATCCGCGCGTGGATGGCGCAGCTTGGACGAGTGCACGAGGGGGGCGCTGATTGTTTCGTAGACTCAACGCTGGTGTGTAGATCTCAGTTCGCAGTGTCCTGCTTGCGCGGCCCTCTGGTAATCGAGAGGAGACATGGTGGTAGAGGCCAGCGCACGACTTCGCATCGCGCGCCCGTTGCAGGCCAGGGACATCCGCACGTGGATGGCGCAGCTTGGACGAGTGCCCGAGGGGGGCACAAAATGTTTCGTAGACTCAATGCTGGTGAACAATGCGCAGTGTCTTGCTAGCACGGCCTCCTGGCAATCGACAGGAGACATGATGGTCAAGGCCAGCGCGCGACTTCGCATCGCGCGCCCGTTGCAGGTCAGGGACGCCCGCGCGTGGATGGCGCAGCTTGGACGAGTGCGCGAGGGGAGCGCTGATTGTTTCGTAGACTCAACGCTGGTGTACAGTTCGCAGCACCCTGCGAGCACGGCCCACTGGTTATCGAGATAAGACATGATGGTCAAGGCCAGCACGCGACGTCGCATCGCGCGCCCGATGCAGGATAGGGACATCCGCGCGTGGATGGCGCAGCTTGGACGAGTGCACGAGGGGAGCGCTGATTGTTTCGTAGACCCAACGCTGGTGATGATTTCGTAGACTCAGTGCTAGTGCGCAATTAATAGCGCCCTGCTAGCACGGCCCTCTGGTAACCGGGAGGAAACATGATGGACAAGGCCAGCGCGCGACTTCGCATCGCGTGCCCGTTGCAGGATAGGGGCATCCGCGCGTGGATGGCGCAGCTTGGACGAGTGAACGAGGGGGCGCTGATTGTTTCGTAGACTCAACGCTGGTGCGCAATTCGCAACGTCCTGCTAGCACGGCCCTCTGGTAATAAAGAGGAGGCGTGATGGTCAAGGCCAGCGCGCGACTTCGCATCGCGCGCCCGTTGCAGGTCAGGAGAGCCCACGCGTGGATGGCGCAGCTTTGACGAGTGCACGAGGGAAGCGCTGATTGTTTCGTAGACGCAACGCTTGTGTACAGTTCCCAGTCCTGCCAGCACGGCCCTCTGGTAATCGAGAGGAGACGCGATGGTCAAGGCCAGCGCGCGACTTCGCATCATGCGCCCGTTGCAGGTCAGGGACGTCCGCGCGTGGATGGCGCAGCTTGGACGAGTGCGCGAGGAGGGCACTGATTGTTTCGTAGACCCAACGCTGGTGCGCAGTTCGCAGTGCCCTGCGAGCACGCCCCTCTGGTAATCGAGAGGAAGCATGATGGTCAAGGCCAGCGCGCGACTTCGCATCGCGTGCCCGTTGCAGGTCAGGAGAGCCCGCGCGTGGATGGCGCAGCTTAGACGAGTGCACGAGGGAAGCACTGATTGTTTCGTAGACCCAACGCTGGTGTACAGCTCGCAGTGTCCTGCTAGCACAGCCCTCAGGCAATCGAGAGGAGACATGATGGTCAAGGCCAGCGCGCGACTTCGCATCACGCGTCCGTTGCATGTCAGGGACATCCGCGCGTGGATGGCGCAGCTTACACGAGTGCACGAGGGAAGCACTGTCCTGCTAGCGCGGCCCTCTGGTAATCGAGAATAGACATGATGGTCAAGGCCAGCACGCGACTTCGCACCATGTGCCCTTTGCAGGTCAGGGACATCCGCGCGTGGATGGCGCAGCTTGGACGAGTGCGCGAGGGGGGGCACTGATTGTTTCGTAGACTCAACGCTGGTGTGCAGTTCGCAGTGCCCTGCGAGCACGGCCCTCTGGTAGTCTTCGGGTGTGATTCGTCTTTGTCGTTGGCCACCAGCGTCGACGGCAGCCGGGCGTGCCTGGAGCCCTTGGCACCGCACCAAGAGGTCCCCGTTGTCGCGCGCACTCGCGTCGAGGTGCAAGGCTCTGAACAGTTCAGCCGCGCGACATCGGCAGCATTCAAGCCGTCGCACTGGCGCGCAGGAGAGTGGCTCGCCAGGTATGCAAAGCAGACGACCAGTAAGCGGTAGTTACACAGCAATGCATGGCGAGGGAAAGCGTCAACGCAGCGTGCCCCCGAAATGTAAGCATGGTGCTGTCCCGTGAGCCGCCTCGAGCGGCTTGCGTCGCAGCCACGGTATGTTTCGCCTTCTCGAGAAAAAAGCAGTTCAGCATTCAAGCCGTCGTATCAAGCACCATGGCAAATCACGAGCGTCTTGGAAAAGACAGCTCAGTCAGAGCTCAAATCGGTCACGGGCGAAGAATAGTGGCAATACTATTACTACTACTACTACTACTACTACTACTACTACTACTGCTGCTACTACTACTACTACTACTACTACTACTACTACGACTACTACTACTACTACTACTACTACTACTACTACTACTACTACTACTACTGCTACTGCTACTACTGCTACTACTACTAAGAAATATAAGAAGAATCATAATACCAATAATATCTTTAAAAAAAGACGAGTACTACTAAGAATTGTAATAATGAAAACTATGATAGTAAGATACAGAAGGGGCGTTGGGCGGGGAAGGGGACGGACAGGGGGAACGTGGTAGGACAGCACCACCTCCTCCAAAACCCTCTGGCGAACCTCGGGAACCTATGTCTCCCAAAACCACCAGGAAATTGCCAACAACTGCGAACTTTCCACAGTCTACGAAACCCTTCGACACTTGCTCCACCTCCTGCAGCAGGCAGGCGGTCCCCTCCCTCCTGCACCTCCTCTACTCTTCTGATTATTGCTCTTCGGCCCCCTATTCCTCACCCAACAGCCCCAGAAACATCTACACAGCCCCAATAGCCAATCGACCCCCAGAGGCCCCTAGAGCATGTAATCTTCTCCGTCTGATGAGTTACCTCCTCCCTTCCTCCCTCCCTCCCTCACTCTCCCCCTGGGGAGGCGAGGGACACAGGGAGGGAGAGGTGTAGAAGAGGGACGGGGGAAGCAGGCGGAGGAGGAGGAGGAGCAACACGAGGAGTCGGAGGGGGACGGGAGGGAGTGAGGATGGAGCAGGTGCTGGGGGACGGGAAAATGAGGCGGAGAAGGCGAAGGACGGCGACGACGACAAGACGGAGAAGAGGACGACGACGACGACGACGACGACGACGACGACGACGACGACGACGACGACGACGGCGGCGGCGGCGGCGGCGGCGGCGGCCGGCGGGGCCGAGGGGGGGAGGCTTAGGTCGGGCATGTCCTCCTACAGGGTGATTTTGGAAAACAAAATCAAAAAATGTCCAAACATATTCCAAACTAATCCGGAAGCAACTCGCCCCCTGACTGAGTACTCCCCCTGGAGAGGGACAGGCCCGACTGAAGGGAAGGACCCGCTGTGGCCCTGCGGGGCGCCCGCGCCGCGCCGAGCGGGCGCGCGCCCGCGGCGGCTCAGACCCGGGGGCCCGCCGCCGGGCCAGCGGAGCCGATGGGCTCCGCGGGCGGCTCCGTGGCCTGCCGCTCCATGTCGCTGTAGCCCGCGCGACCTCCGACGACCCCCCAGACCACCCCGACCCCACCCGAAGACCCCGAATTTCGGGTTGGGGGGGGACGGGCTGCACATGTGTGATTTCTCACTGTTCCCCGACCTACCCCCCCCCTCACTGGAGATGGAGGGCAGATCAGAGCCTTCGGGTCGGTCGGGTTGGGGTGGTTTGGTGGTCAGAGCCTTCGGGTCGGGTTGGGGGGGGGGGACGGGCTTCACATGTGGTTCCTCACTGTTCCCCGACCCCCCCCCTCAATGGAAATGGAGGGCAAATCAAAGCCTTCGGGTTGGGCTGGGGTGGCTTGGTGAGCAGTGAACCTCTGGGCCTCTGGGCGGCCCGGGCCGCGCGCGGTCCCCTTTGGCACCCACGGGCGCCTCCCGGTGCCCTCTCCTCGGCCCCGAGGCCTGCCACATGGCTGGACCTGAACTTTGTTTTTCGTGTTGGTTTCGTCTTGACTTGTTCGCTCTGCTCCACTCGGATGTTGCTAGAAGCGCCCCTGGCCCAAGGTGCCCCCAGGATTTCCAAGGAGGCCCCCAGGGCCTCCAGAGCACCCCTCACGAGACCCAGGGGGCCCCAGGGCTTCAAAGCGGAGCGAAAAGCTGGGGGCACCTTGGGCCAGGGGCACCTTCAGCAACCCCCGATCCACCTGCTTTCCTGCACCTCCTTGCCAAAAGAAAATCCAAACACAGCCGAAGTCCAGCAACACACAGCGCTCAGGTCCAGCCCCGAAGCCTGCCACGGAGGCGCTCGGGGCGATCCCAAGAAGACACCGGAGACGGCGCCGAGACCATTCCCAGACAGCCCAGGGGCACTCCCAGACAACTTGCAGCGCCGTGATAATCCGCCGAGCCTGTCGGCGAATGGAAGACGCAATTCTGCCTGTCGTCGTCGTCGTCGTCGTCGTCGTCGTCGTCGTCGTCGTCGCCGCTCCCCCCCCTTCCCTGGGCCCTCCTCCTCCAGGGAAAGTTGCGGGAGAAGCGAGAAGAGGGGGAAGGAGGGAGCGACGGAGACGGCGCACACGCGAGCGAGAAAAACACCGCCCCGTCCACCCGTGCCACCTCCCCGTCCTCCTCGCATACGGGGTCGGCGGCACCGGCCGCAGGGCCTCCACAACAAAAATGCCTCGCCACGCTCTTCGCGGGTCGGCTATGCGAGGCTTCTGCCGATCCGACGAAGGCTCGTTCTCGGAGCGACCACCCCGCCCCCCTTGGAGAACTGCCCCCCAAAAGGAGTCCACCACCGTGCCCGCTGGCACGTCGAGGCGTGGCAGAATGCCAGGTGCTGTCTGGTAGGGCTTCTGCCAGTCTCACGAGGCCCCGCCTCTACCCTCACGCTGCGCTGCGCATTGTCCTCCTCCCCCCCCCTCGCCGATCTCTTCGGCGTCTGGGCGTCCCGTCTTCCCCTCGGCCGTCTCCCCCCTCCTCTCTCTGCCCGCCGGCCAAGTCGCTAGATAGTGTCCCTTTTTAGCTTCTCGCTGGAGTGGAGTTCGCCGCCTCACCGCCGACAAAAAAGTGTATCCCCCCCTCCCGAGGCTCCCCAGGTTGCCCAGAGCCCTCCAAGGCTTCTCAGACAATACGGCCTTCCAGGAACGCCCACGTCACTTAAACAACGGGCGTTCAGCGTTGCTGAATATAGTTGGGGGTGCCTGGGCTTCTCGGCTCGGAGGAGCCACAAAGAAGCCACAAGAGCCCAATGAGGACCACCAGACGCCCCACTATCGGCGGCGAGCGAGGGGGGGAAGTGAGAAGGAGAAGGCCTTCTCAGAAGGTTCGGAAGTTCCCATGCCTTCTGAGAAGTTTCCTGAGCCTTCCCCGAAGACAGAAAACACTTCTCAGAAGGCGCGATGGCTTCTGAGAAGTCCCGACGCCTTCTGAGAAGGTCTTCTCCTTCTCACTTCCCCCCTTCGCTCGCCGCCGACCCCAGACGGCCCAGGACAGCTCCAACAAAGCCCCAAGACGGCCCAAGAGGGGCCAAGGACAGTACACGATAGCCCCGAGAAAGCCCGAGAGGGCCCCAAGAAGCTCCCACGACAGCTCCGCGAGGCTTCCCAGACGGCCAAGAGGCGCCAACGACGGCACCACTACGGCTCAAGAGAGCCCCGAGACAACCCAGGAAGATAGAAATGTAGCCCCACATGGGCCCAAGACAGTCCCAATACGGCCCAGACAACCCTTATGAGAGGCCCTCAGTGAATCGAGATGCGAGGTGTCTCATTCGCATGCTACGGCCTTCTCGGCGTTGCTCCACGCGTAAACACAATGCGAGCTGCGTAGGCGCGGTGGTGGATTGAGCCAAGGTTCCGCAACATCCCGATGTACCGAAAAGTGATGCTTATGATCCCGCGCACTTGTGCAGCGGTCCCGCAGTGCTAGAAGTCCCGCACTGCATGTTCATCACAAACGCCGATGTATGCAGGAGAGTCCCTGCACCCCCACGAATGCCGCAGGAAACTCCCGAGAGGCGCCCGTGAGACCTGACAGAGGGGCCCGCGGAGGCTTCCGACATACCCTCGTTTGTTGCCTGTCGTCGCCCTTCATCGGCCCACCAAGTCGCATTAGGCACGGTAGAGCGATGTGAAGCTCGGTAGAACCATCGCACCCAGCCTGTCCCAAGAACATGGGAGGCTGCGGGGCCCCGCAGAAATACGGTGAAACTATGGCAGAGACATGGAACAGCCATCCTGGAAACGTCTCGATGCTGCGCCTACCCAGAGGGGTATGCGGCAGTCGTCTGGGTATGGAATGCTGTGCGTCCCCGTTGTCTCCGAAAGTGCCTTCATGCATACATACATACATATGCATACATACATACATACCTATATACACACACACGTAATGTTGGTGCGCCTCGGCCTGCTGGCTTTGCGTCGCAGCTGCAAGCGCCCACCCAGACAGGATCGGGAGCGGGCCTGAGCCCACACCGCATTGATCAGACCATGCTGCAAAATCCGCCGAGACTCTCGGGAGGTTTTGCATTATGGTCTGATGATTGTTTTTTGTGTTCTATCTCTGTCTCTCTCTCTCTCTCTCTCGGCGAGAGATGGGCGCCTCTCTCGGAGAGAGGCATCCAGCGCTTCAGTGTCCCAGGGTGCGCCACGTCGCTGACAGAGTCGGGAGCGGAGCTTCGCGGAGAGCACACCGACCAGGGGAGAGCCCAGCCGAGCCCAGACTCGCCAGTGACAGCCGAGGCTGAGCCCGGCTGGAGGGTCCAACCGCGAGCGAGGGCAGAGACACCCACCGCTTCGGCATCCCCGGCGACGCCAGGGCCCGGTCAGCGCCGGCGCGCCCGCACCGTGAGCTCCGCGCTGCCTGCGCCTGCAGGGCACGCCACCGCTCCCTCGGCCCCTGCCTCGCTCCCTGCCTCCCCCTCTCTCCCTCTCTCTGCCTCACCGCTGCCCCACCCCTGCCTCAGCCCCGACTTCGCTCCGACACCTCCACCCCGTGACCCCTCTCTGCTTCACTCCCGGCACAGCGGCCTCCGCTTCCGCATCAGCCGCCACCACCCCGTGCGCACCCTTCGCCCCCATCCCTTCTCCGATGAACAACTCACTCCTGTCGCACCCCTGGACGTGTCGGCAGGGCGGGCTGGGTGTTTCGCCTGACACTTCCTCGCCATCTACCATCCTGAAGCTTGAAATCGACAACTGTCTCGAGGATGAAGGCTGGGTGATCTTCAACATGTGGCTCCGCCGCACCAGGCGCCTAAAAAGTTTGCAGCAGCTTCAAGGGTGGAGGGCGGTTGCACTTCAAAATGCGGCTCTCGCTCAATCGCCCCGCACATTCGCCTTCAAAGTTTGCAGCAGCTTCAAGGATGGAAGGCGGCTACATTTCAAAATGCAACTCTTGCGTTAGCGCCCCGCACATTCGTCTCCAAAGATTGCATCTGCGTCAAGGATCGAGGGCGGCTCCATTTCAAAATGTGGCTCTCACTACAGCGCCCCGCACGTTCTTATTTGAAGTTCGCATTTGCGTCAAAGATGGAGGGCGTTCCCTTTCAAAACATGGTTATCGCCTGAGCGCCAGCAGTTTCAGATTCATTCTTGGAAGTGACGTCCCAGGGATGGTTGCCTGGCACGATTGAGGAATGCCGGGAGGCAACAGTCCGGTTGATTCGCGGCGTTGAAGTCACGGGATTTGTGTTCTGGCACGATTCAGCACTGACTGGCCGCAACAGTCACATTGCTTCGCGGTGTTGAAGTCTGAGGAGGGGTGTTCTGGTACGATCGAAGGTTCTCACATTTTTGTGTTTCCAAAAGCCGTTTTCGCAGAACAAACTAATTCTTATAGGGACTTATGAAAGGCCTCCTCCCCCTCCTCCTCCCCCTCCTCCTCGTCCTCCTCCTCCTCCTCCTCCTCCACGTCTTCCTCCTCCTCCTCCTCCTCCTCCTCCTCCTCCTCCTCCTCTTCCTCTTCCTCCTCCTCCTCCTCCTCCTCCTCCTCCTCCTCCTCCTCCTCCTCCTCCTCCTCCTCCTCCCCCTCCCCCTCCTCCTACTCTCGACCCCTGGGGCCCGCCGAGTCCCCTGGGGCCCTGGGGAGCCCCCCCGAGGCCCAGGGTCCTCAGGACGAGGAGCACAGGGAGGCCTAGCTTTTTCGGGGGCACTCTTTATGGTGGGCTCAGGTCTGCAGAAGTCGTGATGTCAATCCAGTGGGCTCCCTTCTCATTCGCACCTCGTGCGGTGGGCATGCCCGAGGCACCCACACGATCCCTGCGCGAAGGGGAGTCCACAAGCCGTGTACAGGCAGATCCAGCAAAGGCCATTGCAAGACGGCGCATTTGTTCTGGCAAGGCACTACCGTCGCGTAACCATGAATATGTTCCAACCCTCCAAAAGTGTCCGCCAGCAATGGTCTAGTGTCCTGGACCCCTCCCCAGCCGATCTCAGCCAGCCAGGACCAAGGTCAAGGGACTGGTGGCCCCAAGAGCCTGGACTCCGGGAGAGGGCTGCAGCTTTTCGGTCTTTCGTGGGAGGAGGGGGTCGGGCTGGGCCAGGCCGCTCGCGCGGCCAAACCAGCAGCAGCGTCAGCAACAGGCCGGGTGCGACACCTTGGAGCCCCTGCTCACGAGCTCCAGCTTGCTGGGGTCGCTCCCCCCTCTTCCTTACATGCTTGATGGGGTCGCTCCCCTTAACAACTGAAGTTTGTACCTTCGCCCCCTCTCGTTGTCCAACTCGCCCTGCCCTGCCGCCGCGGCTCATGCACGCCCTTCGTCACCTTGTCCTCATCATAATACTGCGACTGCTCGTCCGTCGCCTTTACAATCCTCCTTTCACTACTTCTTGAGGAGGGGGGACGGGTGAGAGGAAATGCCGGACGATGCCTGGCTATGTCCTACTGGTCCTTCCAAAGGGTAGTACTCTAAGGCGACATGTGCACTGAGACAGGATAGGCAGAGCATGGCAGCAGTAGACATTTCGTTGTGGCCCAATTTCCTGCCCTTCAACGAGACCCTTACGACAACAGACGTGTTTCTTGCAATGGTCAGACGATCTCTCTTCCGATCGTCTCTGACATATCTGGGATGCGAGAATCTCTATATACACATATATATATATATATATGTGTAGGTATACGTGTATATTACGAACAAATATAAATATGCGATGCCGTGTACGAGATGGTTGAAGTGCCTTCTCTTCAGCTCCGCAATGCTTTGCTCCACCGCGGAGTCCGACCCAGTGCTTCCCCAGGCAGTCACTTAGATGGGGTACGGGCCGGGAACGCCGAGAACTGTTACCAAAACACCCCCAGCCCGTCCCGACTCATCCAACCGGGAAAGCCAGATCTGTCACCAACACGGCACGTTCCACCACCAGCACACCGCAGGGTCCCACCAAGGATCGTGCCGACACCGAACGGGCCCGCCGACGAATCAAACTGGCGCAATCCGACCGACCCGCCGCCGGAGCAACCCCGAACGGCGCAGGCCCCCCCCGGCAGGAACCCCCCAGGACACCGCAGGACCTCCCAGACCCAGCAGCACCCCCTCGGAAGCGACAGGACCCGCAGAACCCCCCCAGGACCGATACCAAAGGACCACCCCGGAATCTACCCGCTTGGATGGCCATGTTCCCGTCGCAGCCGGCGGTGCGCATCGGCCTCGCGCCCTCTGCTGCCTGCACGTGCACCTCGATCGTGGCAGCCCCCCCTCGCCGTGCGGCAAGTCTCCGCTGCGTGTGGCTGCCTGCTCGGGTGGGCGCGCTGCGCGAGCGAGCGGAGCTCAGCGGCTTGGCGCTTGCGCCGTAACGGGGGGTGCCTCTCTCTTGATGCCCGCGCTGTGCTTCTCCACCGCCGTCGTGACTCAGCGCCGTCGACGGACTCCACGGCGACTGCCTCTTGGGATAGGCAACCGTCAGCAGAATCTTGCCGTCTAAGATGCGGCGCATGTCCTCGTAGGCGCCCAGTCCGTCCAGCAGTTGTTATTTGGGAGATGTCCTCGCAGGCGCCCATTTCGTCCAGCAGTTGTTACTTGGGAGTGGTTTGAAGAGAGAAAGGGAGAGAGAGATGCAGAAAGAGAGAGAGAGAGAGAGCGAGAGAGAGATACACAAAGAGAGAGAGAGAGAGAGACAGGGAGAGAAAGAGAGAGAGAGAGAGAGAGAAAAAAAAAAAAACATACATAATTATAGGAAGAGGAAGAGAGAGATAGAGGCGAATATATATATAGAGAGAGAGAGAGAGAAGAAAGGGAGAGAGTCTGGTCCTCCGCCTCCTGCTCCCAGCCCTCCTCCCCGTCCTCCCCCTCACCCGCAGGCAGCGGGGCCCGGGCGGTGCCCCGCGCGCGGACGGGGAGCGGGCGGGGGCGGCGGGGGGGCGGCGCCAGGCGGCCGCGGTGCCGCAGGCGCACGCCGCCAGCAGCAGCGCGGCGGCGAGCGCGACGGGCGCCGGGCGCGGTCCTCGTGGCCGCCGAGGGGGGCCCCCGCCGGGGCCGCGGGCACGGGCGCTGCTCCCGCTCTCCCCCCGGTGGAGCTGCTCCTCCCGCCCTGCTCCCGCCTCCCTCCCTCCCCGCAGCGTGCCTCCCCCACTCTCCCCCGTGTCCCGCCGCCTGAGCCTGAGCCAACCGCCCCGTCCTCGTCTCTCTTCGGCCGCGTCCTGCCTCACTCCTCCTCTTGCACGGTGGCAGAATTCGTTCCAACGGCAGCCCCTTTTATGCCTTTCATCGCCAGCGCAGTCACCCCCTTTCCTAGCCACCGGCGCAACAAAAATGTCCATCCCTCGCTCCCGTCCCCTCCCTGCTCCTCGCCGTTCGTTCGCTCGAAAGAGCAAAAAAATACGAAGCTAAGCCAAAACGGAAAACAGAGCACGGGTATCGCGCAAGGAACTGGTGCAGAAGAAGGGAGCGGCGCAAGGGGCGCCGCTAGGGTCCGCCGCCGGGAGGGTCAAAGCCGACCACCACCTCGAAGTCCCGAGGGGCGGGCGGGGTGTCCTCGAAGTCGAGGGTTGTGTCACGGAGCAAGCGCGCTGCACTAATTACTCGTAAGTAACTAGTCGCGGGTGGCCTGAATCCGCCGCGGGGGATGTACGACACATTACATGGACGAAGACATCTTTTGCCCACTGGACAAGCGCGTTCCACTACTCGCAAGGTAGCTGCTCGCAGGTGGCCAGAATCCGCCGCGGGGGATCTTTGCGACACGGTACATGGGGGAAGATGTGTTTGTTTCGGACGTTTGCGAGTAGGCACTCTGCGAGTAGTGGCACGCGCCCGGTGACCCACGGCCTCCACGAAAGCCAAGCCTCTTGGCGTCGGCGGCCGACGACCTGGCACGCCCCTCGAGGTCGTCGGGCGATCACAACATCCACGAGGCCGAGCAGGGACACTGAGAGGCACCGCGAAGCCGGTGACTCCAGGGGGGGACGAAGGCGTGGCGAGAAGCAAAGAGGGGGGCAGAAAGGGGGGTCCCGAACGACCCCCCACGCCTCGAGCGGGTCACTCTCCGCCGCACGTGGGTCCTTGCTGATTGTTTCTTTGGCCACTGTGACGCCCACTCCGTTCCAAGAGAAAGGCTTAGTCGGCTCAGGGCGTATGAGTGTCTATGAAACGCTTTGCGGCAGAGGCCTTCACACGTTTTTGGTGGTGTCTGGACTTGTGGGCCTGCGGCGGGAAAAAGAAACTGATGGCGATGGTCACTCTCCCTATCGCTCCCTCAAACCAAAACCTTTTCATCCGGGAGGAGGAAGGCTCCTTCTCCTCCTCCTCCTCCTCCGAGAGAGAGAGAGAGAGAGAGAATACAACAAAATAAAAAGAAAGAGAGAGAGAAGCAACAAAAAGAGAGAGATAGAGCCAGAAGGGCACTCCGAGACTCTCGGAGGTCTCTCGGAGGAGGTGTCTACTGCACTTCGGGGGTGTGGGGGGTGGTTCATAGATGCTACATGTGAGTCACCTTTACTCCTCCTCCTCCTCTTCCTCCTCCTCCTCCTTCTCCTCCTCCTGACCTCCTCCTCTCTGTCCCATACAAACCAAATGTTCTGCAAGCGTTTCTCCTGCTACGCGGAACATCAGGTGCACGCTTTAAAGACACCCCGCTGTGAACCAAGGAGCTTCAGGACTCTGGGAGAACAAAATGCAAGTTGTGAGGCGGATCTCACCCGACCGTGGACCACGGGTCGAGACCTCTCGTGCAGGAAAACCCATACAGACGGGCCGTCTGTAGGAGCGGTGACCGCTCTCGGGCCCCTTTCTCTTTTTCGAATGGCCCCCAGCGTGAGCAGCATAACCAGTTTAATACCTCCCTATGCAACCCCGGTCCCCCTCCCCATGCCCCCACCCCACTCATAGAGGAGGAGGAGCTTGCAAAACAAGTCCAAGCATGTTTTCGTGAGTATTCGAAATGTGTCCTGGAAGTCTTGCGGTTGTCGGATCCTTGTAAGCGCTCCGCTCCTCTGTCGAACACGGTTGAGCGTGCTCTCCGTGTTTCCTCCTCCTGCTCGTCCTCACCTCGTCCTTCTCTTCGAGTGGCGAGGAGATCCGCGAGAGGAGTACGAAGTCTCTGTCCTTCTTGCTGCCGGGGGAGGGGCCTTCCAGGGGCCTCCACCTCTGCTCATCTTCCTCCCCCTCCCCCCCAGGGGCCACGCGCGGCGGACACAGCACGGTACGGTTAGGTCGGGCATGTCCTCCTACAGGCGGATGCTGGAGGACAACTAAAGAATATACAACAAATCATCCAGAATATCAAACAATAGTCGAACAATCGTCCCCTCAGTAGTGTTTGACTACTTTTGAGCATTCCTCTTGTAGAGAGACACGCCCGACTTACGGGTACGGCACGGTGAAAGGATGGCCACAACTGCGGCCATCATTCCACCTCTCCGCCGTATGCTCCTGTGGCATCCATCGGTGTGCCGGCGGGTGCGGCGGCGGATAAGTTAACACTGAAGCCTGCCAAGCGGCGAAAGCACAACTGCAACAGCAGCAGAAAAGGCGAGGAGGGACAACGGGGAAACTGATAAGTGCGAGGGGGGCGACGGACGGGAAGCAGGCTGCTCTTTTACCCTTCCCGAGCCAGGCTTCCAGACAAAGACGCGCGGTCGCCAGCAAGGTCCAGACTCATGGACCCACCCATCGTAACACTCTGAACTGGTGGTTCAGACTTTGCGCGGTATGCAAGGAGATGGCGCCGCCGAGTCCACCAAACTCTGGGTCCTGTGCACGGTACACTATCAGGCGGACCCGCGAGTGCACCAGAGCCATGGCGCACATCACGCACGGCTCGTGGGTGGTGACAACCTCGCAGTCCTGGAACATGAGATTCCAGCCCCACCAAAGGGCCACGGGACAGGGAAAGAATATGCTGGGCGCGATCCAGGCGGCGCCCCGATACTGCCAGTTTCAGCACCTGGCCTGTCCGGGATCTGCCCGACTGTCTCCACGGGCCCTTTGGTGGGGCGGGAACGCTGCCCGTCCTGGCACAGGTAGTCCTCCTCGGCTCGCGGCCTCTTCCCCCCGGGGCCCTGCGCCTCGGCACGTGCCCGCGCACCGGCAGCAACAGCCTCGATGGCTGCCATGGCAGCGTGCCGCAGCGGCCGCAGCGGCGAGGCCTCCACAATGCATGCGCTGAGGCCTCCACAAGCAATTACTCAACCTTGCTCAAGTGCCACCTAAACCAGTAACAACCAGAATCTCAGACAAGACCACGGCAGCACACTATCACGAGACCAGGATGCCCTGAAGCCTAATCTGAAGATCGAGCTAACATGCAGAGACCATACAACCTTGCGTGGATGCCAAAGCTGACCACAACAGCTAACACTTCATGGAAACAAGCACACGGGAAGGCGAAACTGCTAGCCGAATCTCACACCATGAATGCCGACAGTAATACACAGTGCAACATCATATGGCTTACGTGTGGTCTCCCGCTCGGACCTCCTCCCGGGCGGCTGCGATCTCCTTCCCAGAGGGGTCGACGATGACACAGCCGCACGCACCTGCGCCGAGCTCCACGGCTCGCTGCAGCAGACGGTCATAACCCTCCACGGCCTCGCGGCCCAGCTCCAGCGGCTCCAGCGCAGGCTTCCGGTAGGTCAGGGGCCTCGTCGCGGCCAGGAGGAGGAGGAGGAGGAGGAGGAGGAGGAGGAGGAGGAGGAGGAGGAGGAGGAGGAGGAGGAGGAGGGAGGAGGGAGGAGGAGGAGGAGGGAGGAGGGAGGAGGGAGGAGGACCACCCAGGCCAGCAGTATCGCTGGTAGATCGCCGCCGGCTGCTTCTCTCGGTTTCGGCCAGGCCTCACAGTAGCAGGTCGCCCCGTGCACTGCAGCGCGCGAATTGAGGCTGGGGGCTCAGTCGCAAGCGTTTCGTCACGTCGGGGTCCAGCAGATCACAATTCGAATCACACCCCCCGATCTCGGCATCCAATCGAAGGCCCTTATGAAGCAACACCAACGCCGAGCGTGAGCCAATCGCGCAAGTAGGCCAGGGTGTTCGATTGGTCGAGCCGAGCTGGTGGCATAACCCGAATGTGTGAACTGTGGTTGCTGCTCGTACGCCGAGATCGCCGCGATCGGCAGACGAGGACGTCTGCGATGAGAAGATGTCAGAGTTGGAGCGAGTGCATGGAGATCTCCGCTACGCGGGAGTCGGCAGACCGCTGCGATCAGCAACTTCCACTGTGTAGAGAACTCTGCGACTTGATAGCAAGTCGTGCGCACGCTGCTACCAACAAGCGTCGAGCTCGAGGGCCCGTGCACGAACCCCCCGCGAGTTCACACAACACGTGCGGCGATCGCGGCGATCGCCGCGCACCATACCTGAGGGCCATGACGGCGCTCGGACTTCTGCGCACTGGCACACACACACCTGGCCAGTGAGGATCAGAGACCGTTAGGGCCGGGGCCAGTGCACGGAGAACTCCGTGAGCTGGGCGCGCGTCAGGGCGCCGAACCTCGGCACGCCAACGGCCGTCACTGGACCGCAGGCGTTGGCCTGCAGGTACTCCGCGACCTCGCCGGGCAGCTCGGCGTCGCTGGGGCAGAGCAGCACCTCCCACGCTTCTCTTACTTGCAGCAAGCTGGTGGGCACGTCTTCCAGCACCGCTACCATATGCAGGACGGGGGAGAAGGGAGGATGAGGAGGTCCTCCTCCTCCTCCTCCTCCTCCTGCTGCTGCTGGTGCTCCTCCTCCTCCTCATCCTCCTTCTCCTCCTCCTCCTCCTGCTCCTGCTCCTCCTCCTCCTCCTCCTCCTTCTCCTCCCCCCTCCTACTTATGGTAGCGGTGGTGGAAAGTGGACCCATCACAAACGGGTCGCAGGCCGCGAGAACAGCGGCCTGGGATGCGAGCGCCTTCAACCATGCCGCTGGCTCGCTGGCCAAACCGCCGAAGCCGGGGCGTACCGCAGTTGCAGATGTCCGCAACTGCGACTCCATCGCAGGCCCTTGCAATTCTGCAGGAATGTAGATCAGCCTCCGCCACCGTGCATTCCGCACGGCCCCCCCTGGTAGACTGCATACCCATTGTCTGGTCGGGTTTCTCTAGCTTTCCATGGCCGCCCCCCCTCATCACGCGCATCACTCGGCTTTTGCTCTTCGGCATCTAGACTGCTCCAAGGCGGCCAAAGATCTCTACCAAGCACAGCTGCACGATGCTCAACGAGCACCTGGTGACAGCTCAACGAGCCTGCACAGGCTCGAAGATCTACCCCACAGGCTCGAAGACCTCCCCCAGATCTCCCCCAGATGTCCCTAGAGACTCCCAAAGAGGCCTTCAGCTCGAGCAGGCAAGCCGTACATATTGAACCACGACAAGAACAGATGTGCCTTTCTTATGATGCCGCTCGGCCTCAGATCGCGTCGACAAACCTTCAGAGAACCGAAAGACGCCCAGGGCAGCTCCAAGGGCGACAGAGGACAGCCCCAAGGGTGCTCGAATACCCTCCAAGACGGCCCAAGCAGGAATCGAAATGTCCACAAAGCCTTCCCAGACGCCCCAATGCGGTTCCACCGGTGTGGGACCATCGCGACAAGGACGGCCCCGAAAAACCCGACGGGCCCTCAACGGGATCCACTATGTAAGACCCCGAGACGCCACCAGTGGAGCCCCGAGAGGGAGGCCCCAAAGAAACCCCCAAGACGCATCCATAGGGGGGGGAATGGGAGGGGGAGGCGGAGGAGAAGGAGGAGGAGGAGGAGGAGGAGGGAGGAACGGAGAAGGGATGAGAAGAAACCGGAGATCCAAGATGCGGGCGAGGAGGGTTGTTGGAGACCCGCGCCAGTTCAGACAGGGCGTTGAGTTGAATTGGTCTTACACTCGCTGTCCTTTCTGTTGCGCTGCTGAGCTGTCACCGTGGTGGGGTTTGCCTCATGCAATTCGATGCTTACTCCAGGCGAGGTGCTAAGGAAGACACCCCACGAAAAGGACACCACCAATACACCCCTGCGAGTAGGACATCACATACGTATGATGTCTGTGCATTTTCGCATTTTCGCGTCGGGCGCACAGATGAAACACTTCACCTCGACGCCGCGTCGCCGCAGGACCGAATGTCCCAAGACTCCCCTAATGCTACTTTGATGCTAAAGCGCCGACCGTGCGCATTGGCCTGGCACCCCAGAGAATTCAATATTCTTGTTGGGTCGCCTCTGACTGGCCTTCGAGCCGCTCCCGACAGCGCCCTGGCAATCCAGGAAAGCCCAAAGAGACGGCCCAAAGACGGCTCAAACGGCTCCCCGAAAGACGGCCCTACGACGACCCACGACAGGCCCGAGGCGGCCCTCAGGCAGCCCAAGATCATGCCCGTCAGCCCAAACAGAAGGAGTACCCGAACAGGCATGGAACAAGAAGACAATGCCACCGCCGTGCCAAAGGCCTGCTGCAAAAGTGATGTTCGCTCCCCATCCCTCCTCCCGCCGTCCGCCTCCCTGTTCTCTTCTTCGTCCCCCTCACTTCTCCCTCCTTCCCCCTTCCAGCCCCCCTCCCTCCTGCCATTTCTCCTCCTCCTCCTCTTGCATCTGCTCCACCTGCAGCCCACCCCTCCTCGTCTTCCTCACTGCGGCTCTTATACTCCTTCCGCTCATCCATCTTGCTACTCTCTGTCCTCGCTCCCGTCTGCTCCTCCTCCTCCTCCTCCTCTTCCTCCTCCTCCTCCTCCTTCTCCTCACGCCTCCTCCTCCTCCATCCTCCATCCTCCTCTTCCTCTTCCTCCTCCTCCTGCTCCTGCTCCTCCTCCTCCTCCTTACGCCTCCTCTTCCATCAACCACCCTCCCCACCTTTCTCTCCCTCCCAACTCCCCCCCCCTCGTCCAAGCCCCCTCCCTCCCCACCCCCTCTCCACAATTACAACATATGGATACTGCTCTCCTCTCTCCCCTGATGACGTCAGTAAGATTATTCGCCCCCCCCTCCGCGTACGGTATTTTTACGCACAGCATTCCCGGGAATCGGGTTGTCACTTGGTTTTTTGTCTGAAAATGCTGCTCCCGCTGAAGCGCTGGCCTCATATCCGCACTTCCGCTTGCTCCGAATCGTACTCCCGCTGCCGCGCTAGCTTCATTTCCGCGCTGCCGCGCGTTCCGAATCGTGCTCCCGCTGCAGCACTGGCGTCATTACTCCCAGTGCCATGCCACGGCACTCCGCTGTGCGATGCCATGCCTTCAGCTGCAATGCTAGGATATGCAGTGCTTGACTACACAGTGCCACGCCATGCTATGCCATGCTACGCTTTGGTCTTCAACGCCATGCTATGACAGGTTCTGTTCTGCGCCGCTATGCGATGCCATTCTCTGCGTTGCAATGATTTGCGATGCAATTCTTCACTGCGCAACGCCACGCCATGCTATGACATACTGCGCTCTGCCGTGCTCTTCTACGCCCTGCTATGCCGTGCTCTACGATGCATCGCGCACCCTCTCGGGGTCGTTGCCCTGCTCGACATCCGACTGTGTGAATAGAGAGGAGATCTACGCCATGGTAAGGGCTGGGAGGGAGGGGGTAGGACGTCAGATATGACGCGAGCGCGCCTGGCTTGGCCCCTCCCCCTCCCCCCCCCCCTTCCCATCTCTGCCTAGGCTGCCCGCTGCAAGAGCCGGCGCCTCGAGCGAGCCGGGCGGCGCGGGGAGGGCGGCGGCGCGCACGCGCTTCAGGTGCTGCAGCTCCAGGTCCAGCTTCAGCCTCTGGCCGGCGCGCGGAAGCGCCGAGGGCCCTCAGCACGTGGGCTAGCGCCGATTGGCTTCGCCTCGCTCCCTCTCTCTCTCTCTCTATTGCACGCCTAGCTGGACAGTTTGCCTATCGGTTGCCCCGATTGGCCCCGCGCTGGTGCGGATTGCCTCCGCCTCGCCGCCGACGAAAACGGTGTGCGAGCGTGTGCTTCGTCCAGAGAAGCCCCTCCATACGGAATGCGACGCGGGCGGCGCAACGAGGTCCGACACCGTCTGCGCGCCTTCGGCGGAGCTGCACGGGGAAGACCCCCACCCACCCACACACACACACACACACACACAAACACACACACACACACAGACACGAGGTCCACACGGAGTCCACACGCGTCCCGAGGATCACCGAGGGTGGGGGGGGGTGGCCGAGACAGCCGCAGCCCACGGGGAGCCGTGCTCCCTGGCCCTGCCGGGGGAGCTCCTCGTGCAGACGACCACCCGCGAGAGGGGTGTCGAGGCCGACCCCCAGGCAGGAGTGCCCAGAATCGAACCGATACAGTCGTCGGCCTGACCTAAGGAACGAAGAATAAGGAACGAAGCCCTTTTTCCAAGGAGTAACGCAGAAGGAGCGATAAATAAGTAGCGCATTAGGAACTGTAGATAACGCATGCAAGCCTCAGAAACAACCGAGCCCCTTTTGAGAATTAAGTGTTCCTTATTCAAGCCGCTCACTGTAAGTCGGATCGGCGATCGAGATGAATCGGATCGGCGGAACTCGACAGCCGAGTCGGAAAAGTCGGATCGGCGAAAACTCGGCAGGCTAACGTGCCTCCAATAAGAAGTCGGAGCCCAGATCGGAATCCTGAGTCGGATCGAATCGAAATCGGGAGCCATCGAAATCGAGTCGAATCGAATCGGCGGAATCGAAACGATCCCTGGGGGCGTAAGGGATCACGGCTCCCCCAGCCGCGGCTGGTCAGGGGAGGAGGAGGAGGAGGAGGAGGAGGAGGAGGAGGCGGAGGAGGAGGAGGCGGAGGAGGAGGAGGACGAGGAGGAGGCGGAGGAGGAGGAGGCGGAGGAGCGGCGGAGGAGGAGGAGGCGGATGGAGGAGGAGCAGCAGGAGGAGCAGGCAGCAGGAGGAAGAGGACCCCCAGCCGCGGCTAGTCCAGGGGGGGGGGGCTTTGGGCGGCGCGAGGCCAGCAGCCACTTCGGAGAGGGCGGGCGCCGCTTTTCGGAGGGCAGCCTGGGCTGCGGGGGAGGCCTCGTGGAGGCTGGGGGGATGGCTCTCTCCGAGATGTCTCACTGCACCGACGTTGCAGACGTGCTGCAGCAGGCTTTTGGCGTGGATTCCTGTCCATGCAGGCTTCGTGGAGGAAGAGGAGGAGGGAGAGTCACAGGAAAGGAGGAGGGCATCCTGGGCTGCCAGGCAGGAGGGGAGGAGGGAAATCAACAGGAAGGGATGCTGATACCGCTGCTCCGGCAGCCCTCGCCACCACGGCTGAATTCGCCTCGAAATCCTGGACAGAACGCGCCCCAGGAGAGGCCATGGAGCCAGGAGAGGGCTCCCCGAGATGCATGGCGCCAGCATCGCAGAGCGGACTTCGCTCGGAAAACATTGGGATGGGCCCGGACTGTCCTGGAGAATTTCGCTCCGGATTTCGAAGCGAGTCTCGTGCGGATATTTTGGGCCAGGAATGACAACTACAACAAATCCACGTGAGATTCACTTCGTTTTTCGTTTTCTGTTTGTGGGGTCTGGATGGACAGAAGATCCACGCCAACAGTCCGCTGCAGCACATCTTCAAAATCGGTGCAGTGAGTCACTGCACCGACCTTGCAGACGTGCTGCAGCGTATGTATTTCTGTCAATAAAAAAACCCGAATCGGCGAGTGGAAAAAGACGTGAATGTCTCGCTGATTTCTTTGTCTTCATGTTGGCGCCATGAGATGGCCCCCCACCTTCTTAAAGTAGCCGCTTCCCCCGCGCCACCCTTTCCGTGCGCCGCCGAGTCCTGCTGGCCAGCAGCTTGAGCAGCTGGCTGCCGACGCTCGGGAGAGGGAGGATGTCCGAAGGCATCTGAGCGTCGTTGGCAAAGCATGACCCTCCTCCTCCTCCTGACCTCCTCCTGACCTCCTCCTCCTGACCTCCTCCTGACCTCCTCCTCCTCCTCCTCCTCCTCCTCCTCCTCCTCCTCCTCCTCCTGGGGCGAAGACAGCAGCGACCTGGGCCGAAAGGCCTGCCCTGGGCGTGGGGTCGAGAGCCCCAGGGCCCACGCCATGGAACAAACATCACGACGCCTCGAAGCCTTGGCGCAGGCCTCCACAGGCCTTGCGGTGAACCCACACCTTGGCGGGCACGACCTCGCCGCCCTGTCGGCTACACGCAAGAGTGACCCTGGGTAAGAGTGACATTTGGTGCGCGGCTTTCTGGGGGCCGCGGGGAGACCAAACCTGGGTGCGCAAGCCACTGCTACCGCTTCGTTTTCAGCCGCCTGAGGGCCCATCTGTGCCCGCACCAAAGGTCACTCCGGCGAAAGGTCACTCTTACGTCTAGTCGAGCCCTGGCGGGGAGCCGACACACACCCAGGGTCTAGGTGCGCACCAGGCCTGTGTCATCGGGGGACGCCCCCTGCACGCGGGCCTGGCCGGGCCAGCCCTGGGCCCGGGGCCCGTGGGTACGCACTCCTGGCCGAGCCGGGAGGGGCGGATGCACGGGTGCGCCGGTGCCGGGCCCAGCTCGGGATGGGCACGGCCAGGGTCGGCAGCAGGTGACCTCAGGTGCAGTTGGCGTCCCAAGGGAAGGCCTGACGGTGGTGGACACCTTCCCTCTCTCGAGAGGGCCTTCGGCACCACGACCGCGTGGAAGCCGATCAGCGACACGGGCCGCGTGTACTCGGGGGGCAGCAACTCAAGGAGGCGCATCCCCCCCTCGGGCGCCGCCGTGCAGGCGGCGTCGCAGGCATCTGAACCGGGCATCCAGGCAACCGGACTTTGCGCTCCGCGCCGCGCGAACAGCTGCTATATTGGAGCTGTCGCGTGGCGCTCTGCAGCCCAGGCCGCGAATCGTCGCAAGGCGCGGATTACCTTCGAGCCCCCGCGGGTAACCTGGGCGCGTGCGGGTAGGGGCTGGCGCCGAAACTGTGCCCAGGACGCCCCATATTGAGCCAAAACAGCTCAGGAGACATGAACAGCGGCGATGGGAAGGAGGAAGACGATGAGAGACGTGGCTCAAAGGGCAAGGGCAACAAGCGCATCTCCTTTTAGTGCTTCAGTGGGTATGGTGATTGATCCTGCCAGCGGGCACCAGCAACTTTCGAAGCGCTTGGTGCGTCAAGACTTGACGCAGCACTATTGCAGACCACGTAGAGGAACTTCTCGTGAATCGTCCCAGGGCCTCTCTCAACACGTTTGACTAGGTATGGACTTGTCTCATCATCCCTTCAAGTTGCGTGTGCGCAACCGCTACTGCACGCGTGGAGTGTTAGTTTGTTTGGCCAGCATGTGCCATGCGAGGTTCTTATTGGAAGCAGCGGATGAGACCCACCCAATTTCGGAAGCATCCAGAACACATTCGGGGAGAAACCACCAGATACATATATGTATGACATATGATATATATATATATATATATAAATATATATACAGCTATAAAAATAGGTACACACCTACACACCTATATATGTATAGATGTGTGTGTACAGAGTGTGCAAATATAGTCTATGTATGTATGTATGTATGTATGCATGCATGCATGCATGCATGTATGTATGTATGTATGTATGTATGTGTATATATATATATGTACATATGTCCGCCGGCCCTTTGTGGTGCCACCAGGCTGTAGGACGAGGGTTTGCGGTTCCCTGCGCCAGCTCCAACTTCCTGTTTCCACTGTTGCAGTTCTGCTTCTTGTGGCTTACTGTTCCTTATTGTAGACCTCGCGAGGGGGGGGAACCGAAAACCTCCCTGGTTAGCACCTCCCGGGAGAGGTCTCAAAATTTCTGGGGGGGTCGAAATTGACACCCCTCACGCAGACTGGTGGGGTCAGGGTCCAAAACACACATGGGATTTGCCACACTTTCGAAATTCGGTGGCACCCCTCACGCAGATAGGCGGGGTCAGGGTCCAAAAACCAACGGGAGTTGCCTCATGTTTAAAATTTCGCGGCACTTCTCACGCAGATAAGAAGGGTCAGGGACTAAAACCAATGGGATTTGCAACATTTCTACATTCGGCGGCGCCTCTCACGCAGATCGGCGGGGTCAGGGTCGAAAAACACATGGGATTTGCCACATTTCTGAAATTCGGCGGCCCCCTGACGCAGATCGGCGGGGTCAGGGTCAAAAAACCTAAAGGATTTGCCAGAATTCTGAAATTCGGCGGCACCCCTCACGCAGATCGGCGGGGTCAGGGTCGAAAAACCAATGGGATTCGCCACATTTCTAACATTCGGTTACACCCCTCACGCAGATCGCCGGGGTCAGAGTCCAAAAACCACATGGGATTTGCCATATTTCTGAAATTTGGCGGCACCCCTTACGCAGATCGCTGGGGTCAGGGTCGAAAAACACATGGGATTTGCCACATGTCTTGAAATTCGGTCGCACCCCCCACGCAGATCGGCGGGGTCAGGGTCAAAGAACCAATGGAATTGTCCACATTTCTAAAATTCGGTGGCACCCCCACGCAGATCAGCGGGGTCAGGGTCCAAAAACCAATGGGATTTGCCATATTTCTGAAATTTGGCGGCACCCCTTACGCAGATCGCCGGGGTCAGGGTCAAAAAACACATGGGATTTGCCACATGTCTTGAAATTCGGTGGCACCCCCCACGCAGATCGGCGGGGTCAGGATCGAAAAACAATTGGGATGTGCCACATGTTTTGAAATTCGGTGGCGCCCCTCACGCAGATCGACGGGGTCAGGGTCAAAAAACACATGAGATTTGCAACATTTCAATACTTCGTTAAAAAATCTGTTTGCACAGCATACGCGAGCAAGCTCGAAATGCAACACAGAATTCAACAATATCGTCAGAATCTCAATTTGTCTGGCCGATTACTTATCGTCTTCGCGTGAAGTCCCGACGCTGCTTCACGGCGGCGCAAAGGCCTCATGATTTCGCTCTTGCATTGCCCATTATCCGAGAGAGGGGGCCAGCGGCAGGGGGCGAAGCCATTATTTATTGGTTAAGTATATATATATATGTATGTATATATATATATATATAGATATATGTATGGATTGAGAGCGCGGTGTGCGAATCGAATCTGCACCAGGGTTAGCAAGGCCAACTCAGATACTACAAGTGGGCTTGAGACTCCTTCCGGGGCGCGACCACGAAGGGCGGTGGTTCCTTCGCTCTGTCCCTGGGGGGCCACATGTCACTTATCCTCCGCGTGGCACTGCGTCCTGCCCTAAGCACTTGGGACGTTCACGGTTCCTTCTTCCCTCCCCTCCTCTCATCTCCCCCCCCGCCAGGTCCCATCAATCCCCCCCTCCTCTCCAGAGAGACCCGCAGACCATCGAAGCCATCAGCGCTTCCCCGCCGCCCACAGAAGCACGGGCGAACAGCATCAGAACACCTCCTCCTCCTCCTCCTCCTCCTTCACCCCCCTCCGCACCTTTCGGACCATTGCCCCGTCCTGCTTTGTGCGGAGGGTCCCCGTCGACGGCGGACGCTATTAGCCGCAGCAGGACGAACTGTGTGCCGATCTGGTCGGCGTTGTTGTTGTTATCGTTGACGAGCAACAGCCAGATGCCCCCGGCCGCGCTATCCTTCCTCCTCCTCCTCTCCCTCCCTCGTCGTCGTCGCCGTCGTCATCCTCCTCTTCCTTGGCATCCTTCACTTCATTCTGCCTCCTCGACCCCATCATCGCCGTCACCGTACTCCGTTTCTTCCTCCTTCTCCTCCTCATCATCCTTGGTCTCTCCACCCCCCTATCCAGCGTGCCACATGCACCGCCACGTGGTTTCCTGACAACTGTACTCGGGAACGGTTGAACATCACAAGTGTTGAAGGCGTAGGGCAATAACTCTCAGAGGCGACGCGCCATTGCAAGAGCGAACGCATCGAGCATCGCGAATGAACATGCGAGAACGGCTCCCGCATATCTGCTAAGATGCTTGTTCCCTGCTCGTGGGTGGCCGGAGAAGGACGGAGGCCGACAGAGGGAGGACGGGCGTGAGTTGGAAGATGGGGCAGAAAGAGCTGGACAAGGACAAGCGACCAAATCCATCTAAACCTTTCTTCCCATTACCCCTCACGGGATCCATCCCGGCCCGCGTTCTCCGAGCCGCATCCAGCCGTTGCGACGAGCCCCCTCCCTCCCCCCCTCGAAGGTCTGGAAGACGAGGGAGGCGGATCGTGATGAGAATGAGCTGAATCAGGGAGGAGAGGTGGACAGACCTGCAGGAGAAGCAGAACGCGCCGTGGGGAGAAGAAGGAGGACAAGCAGCAGGCAGCAGGGGGAGGCTTTGAGAGGGGGGCAGGGGACGAGGAGAGGGAGGAGGGCATGCAAGAACACAAGGAGAGACAGTGGGGACGAGAGGGGAGATCAGGGTGAGGAAGGTGAGCGGAAGGAGGCGGAGTAGCAGCAGGGGGACGGCGACCCCTGCCCCGCTAACTGCCCTGGCGCTCCTGGGCCTGCTCGCCGAACGCCTCCAGGGGCACGAGCGCCATCCCCTTGCATGGACGAGGGGGAGGGGGATGAGAAGCTCCCTGCTACCTCCTCCTCCTCCTCCTCCTCCGCCTCCGCCTCCGCCTCCTCCTCCGCCTGCTCATACCTCCTCCTTCTTATCCATCCTCCTCCATCCTGTTCCTGGGCGCTCCTCCTCCTCCCCTCCCTCCTCCTCTCTCCTCATCCGTCCTCCCTCCTCCTCCTAATGCTCGTCGTCCTCCGCCTCCTCCTCCTCATCCTCCTCCTCTATCCCCCTCCTCCTGCTCCAGGGGCACGAGCTCCTTTTCCTCTCTCATCCCCGTTCTGTTCCCGTTTCCGCTGCTCCAGCCTTCTCCTCCTCCTCCTCCTGTTCCTTCTTCTCCTACCCCTTTTAAATTGGAAAGGAGGGGTCGAGAAAATGAGGCAGGCTGAGAGGGAAGACCAGGAGACGGAACAGTTGAAGAGGAGGGGGAAGCGGGCGTAAGATAATGACCAGCAGTAGGGCAAGGACAATGAGAAGAAAGACAACAAGGAGGAGCAACACGGGTAAGGATGACGATGGTGGTGATGTGTACGACAACGGTGACGATGGCCGAGATGTTGCTGCTGATGATGATGATGAAGTGGGGCGAAGGAGAAGTAGGAGGCAGTGGAGGATGCCACGGATGAGGATGAGGCTGGAAACAAGGCCTCCGACAAGTACATCAGGTGCGAATCGTACGCGTCACCCCTACCTACACCCAAACGCATCGTGGCCTGGCTGGAAGCTGGACTGGTCACTTCTCTCGCGTTCCTCTCTCTAGTGTGCTTGCTGCAGCGAGCAGATGTGTAGTTTCATGGTAGGCGTGTCTAATGCGTTCTCACTTGCTTTGCGGGCAGAAGCGCTGTCTGTCAGGCCAATTCCTTCTGACCCAGGCGCGTGCTCCTCAGATGAGTGTGGCTCGTGCTCTACTATGCTATGCCGTGCTACGGTCTGCCCAGCTGTGATATACAATGCCACCCTTGATGTGGTGTGATGTGACTGTGTTGGCTGTCCGGCGCGCTGCTGTGCAATGCTATGCCATGCCACGTCCGGACACGCAACGCTGCAAATGCTATGCTGCGCCATGGTGTACCATGTTGTGCTATATTCGAACCCGCAGCGACATACAGTGCCATGCCACGCCCTGCTATGAGATGGCACGTCGTGCTATAACAACGCTGATGTGAAATTTCGAGCTAGCGCTTTCCAGCGCATGCTGCCGCGTTCCACTGCACCTCACTGCGCTGCATTGGACATGACTGCATTCATAGAAGGGCTACTCCTATTAGGGGTCGCGCTGGAACCACCCGGCCCTAAGATCGGCAAACAACAGACTGCCTCCCGAGCATGGTGCTGACGAGCGCAGAGAAGGACGAGCGACCAATGGACAATGGAGCGGTGGGGGGTGGGGGGGCGGGGGCGAGGAAGGGGAGACAGGCGTACGAGGGGGACGCCCTGTCTGATCATCTACCTCGCCCCTCCTATGGGGGGAGCCGTCGGGCGTCCTGACTGGTTGGGGGCGAGGGAGGGGACAGGCAGGGAGAGGGAAGCCGGGCAAGCTGGGTGCGCTCGCGCCAGATCTGCCATCTTACCCCTCCGACACACATCCCGTTCCGTTGGGCTGCGTTTCTCTATCCGCGGAGGCGTGTACTAGCGGGCCAGGAACTTGCAAGAAGATCCCACCGTGGTATGCGCAATCGGGACATTGTAGCCGAGCAGGAAGAGAGAGAGAGAGAGAGAGGATAATAAGAAAAACGGAGGAGGACGAGGACGAACCGCAGCAGCGGGAATTGGAGTGGACGGAGCGGAAGGCGGAGGAGGCGACAGACAACAATGAGGAACGACTCGGACCCAGAACAGGTCTCCGCGAAAGTGCGAGAGCGCCAAGCTGAACGACGGGGGCAAAGTGCCGATCCGAAATGAAACCCACACTGCAACGGAAACATCATGTTGGAACACCGGAAGCAATCGGATGGTGCAAGCCACAAGAAAACCACTGGTGTCGAATCCGGTGTAAAGAAGGCACTGGGCGGATAAGGCGGGGCATCTTCTCGATTAAGTGGGGGAAAGAAGAGAGAAGTATTCATGGTGCGTACTAATAGAATGGAGGAGGGGTGAGGGTCGATGATCAGGCGTATCACGAGGCGGAGGCGGACGGAGGCAGCGTAGCAGCATGAGAGACACAGTGCTGAGATAATAGGAGTAGGAGCAAACAGTTGCAGGAGTCAAGCTAACCAATTCAAGCGATCCCAAAGTCTCTGTCTCCCGTAACAGAATCCCACGAGCCGTCAGGGCGTGGGCGGTTTAGCTAGTTGGCCGTTCCTGCGCCCATCTTCCCCTTCGGGGGGGATGAGGGGTGCAACTCCCCGTTTTGTTCCTTCCTCTTGGTCCAGACGCCACCCCCTTTCATACGTGCTAGATTATCTGAGGCGCGCAAGATGGCGTCAGTATGGTTCCAGATCGTCCAAGACTGTGTCCAATCTGACACAAGGAAATACAGGCTAGCCTCCAGTAGATCCGCCAAAACTCTGAAATTGATGGTGGGTTGTTTATGATTGCCTGGCAGCAGCCGCGGGTCCGCCGGCGGGACTGGCCGCGCCACTCGCTCAGGACGTGACCCGTCCCCCTGAGTGGTTCGCTCCCTCCGCCCCCTCTTCCGGCCGCGTCCTCCGCTTTTCCCCTCCCTCCTGCGTGGTGGCACAATTCGCTTCAACGGTATCCCCATCTAGGCCATTCCGCTAGCGCAGGACGACCCCTGCCTCGCCGCCGACGCAAAAGTTTATGATTGCCGTCTCGACCTTTCGCTCCCGATCGGTCTTTGAGACCTCAGGATCCCCCACAGAGCCCAGGCTCAAGGACGGCCCCTGGAGAGCACCAGAGCGCCCCAGACGCGTGCCGAGAAGGCCCCCATGGGCCATGTTTGAGCCACGGGTGATGGACCTGGTTAACTAGATTGCAGTGAGCGAACTACATGGTCAGTCGACGGTCATCGAATGAGCTTGGTCTCTCGGGTGGGCATCCTTGCGAGGCGGTTGGACAAGAGGGCTCAAATCAAACATTGCCTCCGAGATGGCGCACGCTTGCCCAATATGGCCCCCAATAGATTCCAAGAGGCCCCACGACGGACCCCAGAGTGCTCCACGTGGCCCCAGAGCCTCCAAATCATGCCTCCGAGAGGCCAGCGCCCTCGCGCTCGGCCAAAATTATCGATGGGACCCGCGAACACAAAGCCGGCGACGAACCCAAGCGGGAGCGCAACGACCAGGCGGAATCTGCGCGGCGCCTGGGGGAGAGCGACAACTCGCCCATTCGCGCGCACCTCCGCCTCCTACAATTGGGCCAACGGGACAGATACGCCGATCCCGCGCTGTAAGGCTACTTTCAAAGCGAAATCTGGGCAGCGCTTGGGCGGAAACAGCATTTCGCAAGCTCCCGCTCTGCCCCGCCGCTGGCGAATTGGCGAGTGAAACAGATGCGCCGAGCCCAAGTAAGAACTCACGCTTCAAACCAAACTATTAATGGCGTCGGGGCGGGGCTGTTTCTCTCTCTCTCTCTCTCTCTCGCGCGGGCGAAGTGCTCTGCGACCTACTTCCGCCACGCCTTTTGTAATGCCTACGACAAAGCGCGCACGCTGAAAGAAACACCGTCGCCTTTGTGTTGTTTCTAATGGTCAGGACAGGAGGGTCCGCATAGGGTTGCTATCAAGATAGGAAAGAACTATCAGAAATTATTTACAAGGTTAATACATACAATGCTTGCACTGTTAGATTATTGCTTGGTTCTTTCGTGGGTTGTAGCCATTTGGCTGGCACGCCCTCGCCCCCTCCACCTCCACCCCTTCCACCACCACCCTCCACCACCCCACCTACCCCCTTCGGAGATTCCAGGGGTCCCTGAGAAAGCTCTCGGTTCACTCGTGCCGCCCCCCTGTTTCACGAACAGGTGCTATATGTTTCATCTTTCCTGTTCTCGTGTTCCTCCCTCCGCTGACCTCCCCTTCCTCGTCCCCCCCTCCTCCGCTCCACGGGAAGCCCAGCCTAAGATCTTGAACAACGGTAAGATAACTAGTGAATCATGTTTCTCGCGGCCGACTTGGAGGTCTCTTGGGAGCCTCTTGGGGTACCTCTTTTTGTAGTTTCCCCCCACCCGCGGCGCGTCTCGCACGCACGCGAGGAGGAGGAGGCGAGGGAGGAAGCAGAGGAGCAGCAAGGGAGGGGAGAAACGCGTGTGAACAATGCGCAATTACAGCACCTTCTCTAGCCGTGTTGGCCACACAAGGCGCACGCGGCGCTTCTGTGCCACGGCGCAGAGACCGGCGCGAAGAGCGCGCATCCCTGTCGCCCCGCCTGCCCTCCTCCTCCACTTAGGCTCTCTCCTCGTCGCCACCCTCCTGAAGGCGTGCGCCCTGCCACTCGATTCAACGGCGGGGCGGGGCGGGGCAATCTGTCACGCCGCTACCCGTCCGGGCGAACCGGTCGGGGGCGGTACGCGACGCGTACCTGTGGCCCCCGGGCATGTCCATCTCCTGTCTCATCCACTCTGGCCTCTCGCTGATGCCCAGCCGGTCCACGGGCCCCTGGCTCAGCCACTTCAGGTGGGCCGAGGACGCTCCGGCGGCCGGGAAGCTGCGCGGGGCCTTCTGCCGCCCTTCCCGGCCGCGCTCCGTGTCCCACTGCTGCAGCTCCACGACGTCGGCCCTCACCTGGGTCAGCTCGGGGTGTCGAACGGGCCGCCTCGCTGACAGGCCCGCCTGCTGCGAGAGCGACGAGGTGCCGAAGGACATCATGTCCCGTGAAAGCACGGGCGTCTTTGATGGGCCTCTTTTCCACGAGGACACCACCATAAGTCGGAGGGGGGAAGGACGTGGAGGATGAGGAGGATGAGGAGGATGAGGAGGAAGGAGAGGAGGAGGAGGAGGAGGAGGAGGAGGAGGAGGAGAGGAGGAGGAGGAGGAGGAGGAGGAGGAGGCGGAGGAGGCGGAGGAGGAGGAGGAGGTGGAGGAGGAGGCCTCCGGAGGAGGAGGAGGACCCCCTCCCCCTCCTACTTCTGGTGGTGGTGGTGGTGGAACGCAGGCCCACCTGCCTTGGCGATGGCCCCGTGGGGCTCGGCGGGCCCCACGCACGGAGCGATGCCCACGCCCCGCGGCGTGCGGGCCGAGGCGCTGCCCCCCGGGGCCTGCCCGGCGCCCGCGGCGGAGGCCCACGGCCTGCCGCTGAAGCCGAAGGCCGGCACCGCGAGGGCCGCGCTCGGCCTCCGCCGCGACGACCCCGCCGAGCTGCCGGGTGGCCCCGCGGGCGCCGCCGCCATCGGTGGCGGCCGAGGGGCGGAGGGCGGGCGGCTCGGGGAGGGGCCCTCGGTCACGAAGGCGATCCTGGAGGCCTCGCGCGGCAGCGCAAGACCCGCCGCAAGGCGGGTCCACGTCGGCTTCACGTCGGATTGCCGTCGGGTTCGCGCCGGGTTGCGTCGGATTCGCGTCGGACTGGCGCCGGAGCATCGCCGCGCAAACGTCGACCCATGGCTTATGGAGCCGACGATCGGTCTATATAAAACTACTACTACTACTACGAGCCGCGAGAGGCCTCCAGGATTTCCTTCATAACCCTTGTGCCGCGGAGAAGCAGGAAGACGGCCCGCCGGCACCCGCGGCACAGGAGCTGGCCGGGCTTGAGCCCAAATGGCCATACGGTTCCACTAAGGGCATCTTGGAGAGCTAGGCTTCGACCGTCTTCGGGCCCTCTTGGGCTTTCCCGGAACACTCTTGGACCAATTTGGGGCCCTCCTGGGCCTCTCTGAAACCGTCTTAGGATATCTTGGGTCGTCTTGGGATCCTCTTGGGCCGTCCTGTCAGCCCGTTGGACCGTTTCTCGGTCCTCTGGGCCGTCCGGAAGGGGACACAGAAATTAGGTTGGGACATCCAGCCAGGGTCTCCCGATATATAATGCCGGCATAACATATTAGCCAGTGAGGACCCAAAACAGTGCGTTGATAACAATATTTGTTGTGCAATCGACCTGATGCAATCGATGCTGTGCACTCTATGAGGTGCGAACTATTAGATGCAATCTACGTAGTACAACCGAGATTGCGCACTCTACGTTGTGCAAAACATGAACAACAACCAATGCTGCGCAATCTACGTGATGCAATATCTGATGTGCAATCTTCGTGGTGCAGCCCGTATTGTGCACTCCATGTGGTGCAACCTATGTTGTGCAATTCATGTGGTGCAATCCATGTACGTAAATAAACATATACATACATATATACATATATACATATACATGCGTACCTATACGATCACCCTGCGGGTAATAAGGAGGTGTGGGGGGCAGCAGTGGGCAAAAATGGTGATTGTTGTTCTGACGATGCCTGTGGGGCGGAGTCTAGTGAGTAGTGTGATTGTGCACGTGATCGTGAGTAGTGAAACTGTGCACGTGGGCATCATTTGGTCAGGCCGCGGCCCAGCCACAGGAGGATTTCGGGACACCAGCGGGACACTGGCGGGACACCGCGCGCCACCGGCCGCCGGAGTTAACATTTGGTCTGGCCGCGGCCCAGCCACAGGAGGATGTCGGGACACCAGCGGAACACTGGCGGGACACCGCGCGCCACCGGCCGCCGGAGTTAACATTTGGTCCAGCCGCGGCCCAGCCACAAGAGGATTTCGAGATACCAGCGGGACACCGGCGGGACACCGACTGCCGGAGGAGAAGCATTTGGCCCGGCCTCGGCCCAGCCACAGGAGGATTTCCTCTCGCCCGCCCACGTCTCACTCGATCGGTCTCACTATCGATCTCACTATCGGTCTCGCTCGATCGATCTCACTCGATCGATCAATCGATTTCACTCGATCTGTTTCATTCGATCGATCTCACAATCGATCTGACTATCGATCTCACAATCGATCTCACTATCGATCTCACACTCGATCTCACATTCGGTCTCATTATCAATCTAACTATCGATATCACAATCGATCTCACAATCAACATCATCATCAACAGCATCGTCATCAACGTCATCAACACCATCATCATCGGGGCACCATCATCGTCACCATCATCATCATCATCAACATCATCATCAACAACATCATCGTCATCGGGACACCATCATCATCGGAACACCACCGTCATCATCATCTCATCATCATCATCATGAGCAACACCATCAACATCATCATCATCATCATCATCATCATCATCATCGTCGGGACACCATCATTATCATCATCAACCACATCATCATCAACATCCTCATCATCGGGACACCATCATCATCACCACCATCATCGTCATCATCATCATCATCATCATCATCGGGACACCATCAGCATCATGAACATCAGCATCATCATCACCAACATCGGGCCACCAGCATCAAAATCATCATTACCTCATCATCATCCGAGTCAACATCATCATCATTCGCATCATCGGGACACCATCATCGCAATCATCATCATCAACATCATCATCATCGGGGCACGATCATCATCACCACCACCATCAATAGCATCATCATCAAGCTGATCATCATCATCATCATCAGCATCAGCATCATCATCATCGGGACACCATCATCATCATCATCTTCATCAGCATCATATCATTATCATCTCATCATCAACCTCATCAGGATCATCAACATCATCAACATCGAGACACTATCATCATCAGCAGCAACATCAGCATCAACAACATCATCATCGGGGCACCGTCATCATTATCACCATCACCATCATCATTATCATCAACATCGTCAACATCATCATCATCGGGACACCATCATCATCACCACCATCACCACCATCACCATCATCATCATCATCAACATCATCATCATCATCATCATCATCATCATCATCATCATCATCATCATCATCATCATCGTGACACCGGCGGGACACCGGCGGGACACCGGCGGGACACCTCGCGGCACCGGAAAGGAAACATTTGGTCCGGCCGCGCCTCAGCCGGAGGCGGGACACCGGCGGGACACCGCGGGCCACCGGCTTCCGGAAAGGAATCATTTGGTCCGGCCGCGCCTCAGCCGGAGGAGACTTTCTTCTCGCCCGCCCACGCAGCTTCGCCTCGCCCGCACGCACGGCACGCACGAACACGAAACCGAAACCGATTTCCCGGTAGGGAGGCTCTCCGTTCCACTTCGATCTCACCCCCTCATCTCCGACATCACCCTCCGCACGATGTCTTTGTACTGAAAAACCTTGTCTGAGGGAATTGCCTCCGCACATAAAAAATATCCGCTGCGATGCCACTGGTGTCCGGGGCCTTTCCGCGCTTAAGCCGTCGTAGAGCACAAGCCAG